TCCGTAGCTACGTTAATATTCAGGAAAATGTGTTATCATTTATTTAAATAATGGAGATAGAAAATATTGGTTTCATTTGGAAGTTTAATGATATTATCATGAATGAATGAAGAAATAAAACAAAAATACAAAACGTCAATGACCTCTGCTTTCTTGTAGTTGTACATGTATATATCGTATACAGTATGAAAAACATTGCTCCTGAATGTTCTTTTTTTAATATTTTCTTTTTTTTCAAATTTAAGAGCAAATGTGCAGTCCCAGTCAATTATTGATCTTTCATATCGATTTAAAAACAATAATTAAAAACGGAAACATCAATAAAGAAAAAGACAACTATTCGGGAAAATATTTAAACATATGTTTATAAAGCCTTACCTGATATATCTGTTTTCCACATGTTATAGTCTCCAAGATCGAAGAGGGAGTTATCTGTATCCACAAAAAGAACAAATTACATTTACAAACATCATGATCTCTCTCTCTCTCTCTCTCTCTCTCTCTCTCTCTCTCATAATAAAGTGAACCTTTTACAGCAATGACAAATTGTTGATACATAGAACCCGTATCTACATTATGATTAGCCCTTCTGCATGGAGGTCATTTTTTTTAATTTTGTGTATTTAAGATTTTCTTTGATAGATACTGTAAAGAAAAAAAAACCTTCCTCCCAACCATCCTTAAATAAGACCTTTTTAATAATCAATGCGGAATAATTTCTTCATACTGCAATTCTTAATCACTGTGTCTTTAATTGTGTTCCTTTTCTTTAAATTAAAAAAAAGAAAGAAAACAAAAAGAAATTGTTTAGACGCACCCTCTACATAAATCAACTTTTCTACCCAGCATTTTGTATGGAACGCCTCAGCTGCCTTATTATCGGCCGCAGGAGCGGCCAATCTATTTGTTGCTGTGTTATAAATTGCACATGGGGAAATGAGACGTTATTTCTTCATTGGTTCGGTAAAATAATTTGTTAATGATAACATGCTTAAAAATTATAAGTAAAATATTTTAAAAACTTCTTTAAACTAATTCAATTAATTGTTGTTATTATGTTTCAATTTAATTTTCATTTTCACCAGATAATTATTAATATGTGATTATATGAGAAGGGTTTACAATAAATATTCCCCAACATGAGAGTGTGTAATGTATAAATGCAAGTCCTTGTTTTTTTTTGTTTTGTTTTTTTTTTTTTTCTTTTCGGATGATGATAGCAGTACGTGGTTAAAGTGGTGAATAAAAATTGAAAAGTTGGTAAAACTATTAAAAATTGTTTTCAATATGCTACAGCTGCGAATGACGCTAGGGTATTTTTTTCTACACTTTGCATTTGTTGTGTTGTACATCACCGCTCCCTACAGCATAGTCTGCAGAAATCATCGGCATCGTCACGTGACAAAGAACCAGGGTATCAGCACGTGATTCATCTGGAGATATTAACATCTTCATGTTGATGACAATATATTTTTATAATTTAATCATTTCGGTTTCTCAATTTGATGAACAAATGTGCAAAAATTATTATTTATCTTGCATCTTGTGCCTCCCCATCCTCCCTCTCCCCTCCGTGTTTTGTGTTTTTTTTTTTTTTTTTTTTTTTGAAGATGGTTTGAAATAAAAATGTTTACTCTTTCAGCTTTGGATATCTTGTGCTTTCCTGGAATGCCTAATTGTGAAGTACTTTTTACAGTGTTTAATTCTATTTGTGCCGATTTGATGCTTTGCGTCAATTTTACTTGTGTGGAGAACATTCATTATCTGCTGATACTTTGTCATTATATGCTGATACTTCAACATTATATGCTGATACTTTAACATTATATGCTGATACTTTGTCATTTTATGCTGATACTTCAACATTATATGCTGATACTTCGATAACATTATATGAAGATACTTCACTATAAGGCACTTTAAAGATAGGTTTAACATCGATGATCGGGATCGTCATACCAAATTCTTTGACAGTTAAAAAAAAATATATTAGTTTTCTTTTCAATATTGCATAATTTTAGTATTTATACAATAAAAAATACATGTACATTTATTAGCAAATTGATGGGACGAAAGGGGGAAGGGGGAGGCAAATGTAAGCAGTCTTGAATATACTGTTGGATAAGAGAAGGTAAAATATTATATTAAGAGTGAACTAAACGAAGATAGCTTTGCAAAAGCGCGTGTACTGCGCGAAGCTTCTAAGATATTTTGGAAGATCAGGAACTATTTTTAGCAATGAAACTTGGCTTTTTTTTTAAGTCAATGATGGTACAGGAACATCAAAGCAGAATAGAATAATACAGTCTAGGGGACAAACATTTGATTCGTTCTGGGGAGGAGTGTACATTTTTTTTCGAGTCAGATTACTAGTATTTATTTTCATGTCACCACCTGAATGATAGATTATTCATTTCCTAGATGACAAGTACAGATTATTTATTTTCACACACACTAAACAAAAAAGTCCATCTAAACTCGTAAACTCTTTCTTTGGGGGATGAGGAGTGGGGCTACCACCACCCAAAGTCATCCCAGTGGATTTATTTTTAGCATTTTCAAGGACAGATTATTTATTTTCAACATATGATAGCCCCCTCCCTCCCACAAGTATTTCATGGTCATTCGGGTCTTAGAACCACGCGTCAGCACTCAAGTTCTTGATAGCTCTAGACTTTTATATGTAATTTTCAATTCAGCAGGACGGGGATTGTTTTTCAGGGATTTCATTGATATGACACTGATCTACATAGTTATTTAGGCTACTAGTGACTCTAAACCTCTTCCAGGATCTAGCTTCCATTGTATTTGTTATCTGGACTCACAGGCTCTTAGATCGCTTTATTAAGGTGTTAAAAAAAGTAAAGGTATGGAATTCCTTTCATAGGGTACCCAGATTCGCCAATAAAATACTTTTAAATCAAATGATCTAAAACTTTACTTTCTATTCATAAATATTCACATATAAACAATCTACGTTACTCAGAAATTCCGTAAACTTCCCGAGATATGCTGAAATCATATTCCAAAATTAGCCTTATTTTTTACTTGACATTAGCTTGGGCCTCTGAATAGTTACACAAATTGTACAGCGGGGACGACGGGTCGACTTCTTCCCGGAGTTTATTCTATACTCTCTGAATATTTGTTTTTTAGCACCAAGTCTCTACAAAATTTTATTTGATTTGACCATTTGGTCTTACTAAGTTACCAACAACATTTTAGCGTTATAATTTTAAAAAAAATCAATAGGTATTTAATACATTCCGGGAAAATTTCGTTCAATCATAGTTCTTTTGACATTTATAAACAAAATGGCTGTGAATTTGTTGAAGCAAACGTTTGTTTTTTGTTTTTGTTTTTTTTTTCGCGAAAGGAATTATTACTGACTAATCCTTACGACCTGAATTAATAAAATCAATTTAAAATGTTGAAAGATTTTGCAAATACTATGCAGCTGCAGTTCAAACACTGTCTTTATACATGTGACTTACCAGGGCCCAAGCTAATGTCGAGTAAAAAAAGTAGGTCAATTTTGGAATTAATTTCACCATTTCTCGTGAAGTATATGGAATTTCGGAATCAACTTTGGTAGTAATGTAGAGTGATTATATATATAATTATATAAAACCACAAAAAAACCCCACTATACATGTCAATCAAAGACGTTTATCACAAGCAGAAAAAAATCGCTTTGGTAGCAAAGATTCTCAAGAGAATATTTGTCCAATTTTTTTAATTTTAAGAAATCAGAAAAACATTCTACACTTAAAATATTAGTTATTTTTAGAAAGAAGACTAAATATATATATATATATATATATATATATATATATATATATATAAGGTGGACTTTGGCATAAAGTAGACCGCACTTATTTTGAGGCATTAAGTAGACATTTTTCATTTCTTTTATTTGAGACATTCTGATTCACACTTTCACCCAAATTTATTCTAATAGGCTTCAAAAATGAAAATTTTACCCCCTCAGCCCTAAATGTTGCTTCCTGAAAAATATACGACATTTCTGGTCTCCTTAATATTTTGTAAATACATTGGAGGTTTTAGGTAGACATGTATATATTTTATGAGGATTCCGAAGGGTTAAAGTAGACCAAGTATATATAATGCATAAAGGAGACCAGAATATATATATATACATGATTATGTAGACCATTTTCTTTTTTCTAATTATTTAAATAAAAAACTACACATGCATAAATGTACTTCTCATACCAGTATTTATTGGTCAATTTGCATTTATCTTAAGTAAAATATTAGGCACTTTAAAACCCAGTATGATGATTCCTTATTTTAACTAGAAGGAACTTATTGGGTGATAACTATTCGTAGACAAATTTTCATGTCCTGAATCTTATGGAAATATAGTAAATGACCGATAGTAATTGTAACGTTAAGAAAAATATTTCATCCACCACCAAAGAAACACATTGATTTAAAACTTCGTACTCACATGATGACTTATGGTATAGAATCATCATCTAAGCCACAATCACCTGTACATGCTAGATATGACCTCTTGAAACTATAACCTTGTACTTTTCTAAAAAAAATTGTATTTTAGAATTTTATATATCCAGTTTTTGTCATATACTCTGAGCATAATGAACCCTAAGATAATATAATCTTTGGAAGTTATTTTATAGTGGACAAAAATTGAACTTGATGCAGGGTTGTTATACATCCCCAAGTCACAATTATCCCTTTGCCTTGATTTACATCGAGTATAACAATAATGTGATTGCCCGCTTGGCGCAGTGGTCAGAGCATTTGCTCTAGAGTAGTGGAGTAAGGACTTGTTCCTTAAGTCATAGGTACAAATCCCACTGAAGGACGTGGAGACCGGTTCTTCCAATGAAACCAAATTCCCTTGTTGCAGTATATGCTGGGACAAGAGAAGACCTCTCACTGCTCAACCAGCAAGTTGTGATGTCTCAATACTAGTGAAAAATTCTTAAAGGATGTATAACAAACAAACAAACAGAATTATGTGTTTATCTGAATATTTATTACATTTCTAAACCCTATGGCCTTGACCTGTATTAACCTGTGTTAGGACCATACTCTGAGGTTACAAACAATTATTGGTAAGTATTTAATACTTTGATATACAGTGACTATGACCTTGTGCAAAAGACCGTTACTACTGGGTCTAGAATATTTCTGGCCACAAGCTACCTTTGTTTCAAAAGATGTCTACTCACAGAAGACACGTAGACTTCACAATTCCAGTAACTTCATTTGTTGTTGTATAAAAATGTCAATATTTCCCCATGCAAAAAAAAGTTTGTAAAACAACCCCTTTTCTTCTCATGTCTAAGATCTCTATCCTAAATACACATTTGTCACAGTCACTGTCTACTGAATTCATAAATCTAAAGGTAGTTCATACAGTCTTATTTTAATTCATATTCTTGTGTCTTTAACATCATTACATATATAATTTTTCCATGTTTGAATAGACAATAAAAATTGGAAACCATAAATACAATGAATTAGATTTGTTATAACTGTAACAAATAATGCAAATATGTGCAAGTCATGTAAAATTTCATTTTATTTGTAAATTACATTGGTGACATTTGTATACTGTTCAATATATGCATAAGGACTTCTATTATTATCAATCTTCACAACATTAGTTTTGTATAAAGTAATAAATAACTAGTATTTTGTACACAAACATAACATCAATAAAAATAACAATCTTTTACATATCTATAAATATACATAAGAGGAATAAAACACTATTTTGAAATAATCATTACATTTTCATTTCTTGTCAATTAAAAAAAATGAATAGCATTATTAAATTATTACAACATGTTTTAAACCACAAAACTGTGTTCTAAAATGCATTATATACAAAGTGAGATGCATTGATTAACTGTTCATTGTAAGTTGAAATGAAGTTATTACTTATAAAAATACTTTGCATTAAAAAGCAAATCTTTACATAGTTTATTTGATGAGAATATTCCCTCAAACAATAAACTGGCAAGATGTAAAACAGACTCTGAAATACCTATACCACCTATTTCAAATAGTACAGTTTGCATTTCATCCATGAGATTATTGACCTTGAAAAATTATAAATGTTTTCTTCTCTTTGAAAGGAACATGTGTGCTATGAAAGGGATATATTAAATAATGTTATTACAAGACATACAAGTAATTTTTATCTTGATAAAAAATGGTGACCTTCTCATGTCAATTAAGAGAACCATTTCACACAATTTGTGCTAGAATCTCATCTACAAGGTGTTGGCAGACAGGCTACCATACTAATACATCCCTATAAATGAGTTGCAAATATAAAAGAAGTACCTGAAAGTCATTCAGAAAAAAATTTAAAAAGCTGGCTTAAAAATGCTACATTTGTCAGCTGAAATGCATCTTTCACAATACATTCCTAGCATATAATTTTGTGCATATTATATGGTATAATGTTTTTGTTGTTGTTTACAGAGCAAAAATAAAAAGTATATCCATGTACAAATGTACAAGAGGGCAAAACTAGAAATATGTCCATAGGACATGAATGCCCCGCTGAGGGTATATTAATTTTTATTTGCTTGTTTATTGTTTAACATCCCTCTCGAGAATTTTTCACTCATATGGAGACGCCACCACTTGCCAGTGGAGAGCTGCAAATTTTGACCTATACTCGGCACTAAGGGCCATTAAGCAGTGAGGGATCTTTTTCGTGCCAACACCTACTGTGACATGGGACCTCGGTTTATACGGTCTCCACGTCCCACAGTGGGATTCGAACCAGCGACATAAGGATCAACTCCTTACTCCGCAACTCTAGAGCTTTAACCACTGCATCATGTGGGCATATTAGTAATGCAACACAAAAATATTTTTAGTGTATGAAATTTGATGAGAATATTTTAAAATAGTTTCTTTAACATTGAAATCAAAGAAGTTGGATATAGATGATAAATTCTCACCAAATTCTGTTAAGTGCATAAGCTCACATAAAATTATCTTTAATGGTTTCTTTAAAACTAAGCAAAATGCAAATTTAAGAAAAGTGAGGTCCAGGTCACAGGAAAGTTCAAGGTCATACATTTTTGATGCAGTTAAATAGTTCTCACTAATACGCATAAGCAAAATAAGTTTGATAAAAATATTTTGAATGGAAACCGTTTATTTAACACTGAGCTAATCACTATTTCAAGAAAAATGAAGTCAAGGTCAAATGAAATGTCAAGGTAAAAAATGTTGATACAGTCGAATACCTTACATCAGTCTGTATCAGCATATGAAGTTTGACACTAATTTAGGAAAAGTGAGGTGAAGGTCAAAGGAAAGATCAAGATCAAAAAATGTTGATGCAGTTGAATAGCTCTCATCAGTATGTATCAGCAAATGAAGTTTGATTACGCTATCCTGAATGGTTTCTTTAAAACTGAGCTAAACACTTATTTAAGATAAGTACGTTCAAGGTCAAAGGAAAGGTCAAGGTAAAAAAATGTTGATTCAGTATGTATCAGCATATGAAGTTTGATTACACTATCTTGAATGGTTTCTTTAAAACTGAGCTAAACACTAATTTAAGAAAAGTGAGGTCAAAGTTAAAGGATACGTCAAGGTAAAAAAAATGTTGATGAAATTGAATACCTCTCATCAATATGTATCAGCATATGCTGATTGATAAAAATATCTTGAATAGTTTCTTTGAAACTTAGTTTTGAACTGAGCTAAAAGCAAAGCGGAATGGAAGGACAGACAGAAGGTTGGAAGGACGGAAGACGGACATGACAAACTCTATATGCCCCAGCCATAATCATGGCAGGGCAGAAAAATTTCTAGTGTACTGAAATTCAAAACTGCAGTAATTGATTTTTTTTTTTTTTAATTTTAATTCAATATCAAAAAACATATACAAACTTTTTTGATAATTTATTCTATTCAAAGCAATAAGAAATGTATCTGTCTGCACTGCTTAAAATTGATAAGAAGGTTATGACATAACTAAAATAATGACCATGTCCACATTAAATTTAAAATATAATGAGTGACAATTCACTTCACCTTTTCTTTGGCTTTCATTCCATTGACTTTTCTTTCTTTAAAAAATTGTGCTTGTGTAGTACTCCATCTCTAAAAAATAACATATAAATGAAAGTTTATGGCACTCAATGAACTCTCTCATCCCTTCCTTTACTGTTCAAGAAAAAAAAAATGCATACCACAAGCATAGTTTAAACATGTAACTAGACTTTATGATATTTTCATACATAATGTCACCAACTTTATAAAGAATTGTGAATGCATTTCAAAGGTGAGCACATGTGAATTGAATTAAAAGTACCAGTATTGCGAGTATCTCGCAGTTATCTAACTTACAACCGCTCTTTAGCATGGGAGTCGAGGAAGCTCTAAATCTCACAAGATTTCTGGGGCATAACATTACAGTGGTGACAATGGAATGATTCAAACAATCATTATGCCCAAACTACAATGTATTGCCAAGAGTTGAACTCCAAATAGTAGATTGTCAAATAAGGAAAGTTTAGAGTATTTTATCAACTTTCAAAAGTAACGATTTTCATTTAGAATTTAATAAGAAAAGTCCGCTTAGTAAAAAGTATCATAAAAAATGTAACATATAGGATAGCTCCTCTCAAAAATTTATTAGGCTGGTTCAGCGCATGTTTAGCAAGATATTTCTCTAGGATTTCTTTCTTATCAGTCCTTATAAATTCCACAATGATCGATCATGCATTGCATTCAATAGTACACTGCCCCCATCCAACAGACATTTCCTACCTCTGTGAAAGAGTTCCGCTAATTTCAGTAATCGCGATATCAAGTATTGTTGTTTATCCTTAAACGTATGTCAATAAAAAAAATTATTTCGAACAGATCAATGCTTAAATTTTGAGATTATCACCCTTGGTATGCTTTTTTGTTTTTTGTATGGATGTAAAAAACACTGATTGTACACACAAGTACTCTGAAGTTGATATTAAAAAGATTCTTGAGTTTCTGATTGACAATATCTATGTCGTTTTTAGACACAAGGTCCTCCAAAAATCTCTTGGAATTTCCATAGGTACCAATTGTGCTCCGTTATTATCAAACCTATTTTTGTATTCATACAAAGCAGAATTTATTTAAAGTCTTATACATGAGAAGAAGAAAATACATGCTGTTGCCTTTAACATTTAGATATATTGACGAAATACCATATTGTCACGTGTAAAGGCCATAGTCTTGTAATAGACACACCCCCAAAGGATGTATTCGTTATAACAAAAGATTTGACCTATAGGAAAGAACTATTTTCCGGAAAAAGTCACATTTAAAAATCAATGTTCTTTAGTTGTTTTCTATTGTATAATTTGTCTAAATTTTTCAAATTTGCATTTTAAACGTAATTTTTTTTTTATTTGCAACTTTGAAATTAACCTCCAAAGTTGGTCAAAACAGTATTTTGTCCGTTAAAGCACTAATTTTTACGTGAATTTTGGCATAGAAGTCCTTCAGGGCAGGCCTGCCCCTAAATTAAATTATGAAATTTTGATAGATTTTGATCTAAAGAATGATTTAAAACAAGATTTTTTTAGGGGCACCCCTGCCTTAGGGTCGAAATTCGTGAAAAACCTACAAAAAAATGCGAAAAACCTAGTTCTATCATACTGGATTACATTTATGGAGTGCATTTTCATAGTCATTATAGCACAGAGAAATAGGCCGCAGATTCTTAGAATGGACCTTTTTTTATGTCCTGGTTCAAATCCACCTGTTGGCACACTTTTATTTTATTTTTTTTTTTTCAAATTTTACACCTGTATAAACACGAACTTTAATTTTTTATACAGGCTTTTGCATTTTACTTCCACTTTCTTCTTTAAATGTGTGTTTGCTGTTGATATAAAAGACATTTATGGAAATGCAGATTATAAATTCTCTTTAATTAAACGCAATCAACCGGAACTGTATACCTCAGTGTAAGCACACTTTGTTCGAGGACACGAATCATTCACTTTGTGTTACTCGATACTGCAGGTGTCACGAAAAAAAAATCATGACGAGCAAAAATTGCTGTGTTTGTCTTTCAAGAACATCTCTGGTTAGTAGTAGTGTTTTGCCAGTGGGAGAGATACTGCGCTATGCAGAGTAGATGCAGTTCATTCCTCGGGAAAATTGAGTGCATTGGCGACATGTTATGTCAAAAATGCAGGAGGAAGGTTTACAGATTAGAAAAGAACGTGGTAAGGTCAGTTAACGTTTTATCTCCCGTTGCCATTACCCAGGCATCAAGTAAGGACCCTCATACAAAGGATGTATATGTAAATACCGATGTAGGGTCATACGAACACACAGTTGACTAGAACTAAAACGATACATGAGAAACAAGAAACTACACGCATGTGGCCTAAAGTCAGCGACCGGAATGGATATCGATAAGCTTTTTCTAAAGAATGAAACCAATATCGGCCCTATAGGTCAACGCATATATTTACCTGGAAGTGATCCTTTGGGGGGAAAATCCCGAGAAAAATGCAGCTCCTATGGATAAAACGCTACCCCAAAAATGTGGATGTATCTCTTATTTTCACAGCACAACTATTCCAAAGAAAAAGTTTAAATATTCGTATTATTTCAAAAACAAAAGTAGGATACAACTTTTAATTTTCTTGGAAAATTCAGTTTACATATAAGCTTTATTTATAAGTATTTAAGTATAGTCTGTATTTTAATTGTTATTTGATTGGTATAAATTAAAAATTAAGTCCCTTATTTTTTTTTTCCCTATAACCCTAAGCATTTTACGATATTGTGCTGAAAATGCATTCCAAGCAGGTGTCTGTGTTTACGTAAACAAATCCACAGGTACTTGTGGACAGGACCCCCCCCCCCCCCATATCGTTCCACACAAAAAATACCCCACTATACATTATAAGAGAGAAAGGTATGCCACTCCGGTTTGTTTACATTGTACCCCCACTGGTCTTTCTGGGTTTAAAAACATGTTTTTATTTTATTTTAATTAACCTAAAATGTCGGTTCACACTGTCTCTACATATATTTCTGTCTTAGTTCATGCTATCGGATTGGCTCTGCATCTCGTAAGAATCCCACAATTAATCCTTAAACAGCATTGCAGTCAGTGCGTTGAAAAAATCCTTAGGTAAACGCAACGGAAGTGCATAGAGAATATATTACCTTTTATGAAAACACCCGAGAGAGATTATTACGTCAGGGCAAAACTGTTTACTGCTTAGAGAAAAGTAACAATTAGAAAAGGATAATAAACAAGAATCTGATATACCCTGAAAAAACTTAAGAGCAGTAAGGAAACACTTAAAACATTACTTTCCAAGAAACATGCATTTAATATTACATGTACATAATCAATTTATAAAATTTTAATTAGGGATGGAAATAAATAATATCCAAACATGAAACAGATGTGTCAGACTCTGTGGTATCTTTTATTTCAAGCTCACTGGGGTATATATAGAGTTGATATATGAATGGAAATAACTATTGTTAATTGATAATACATCATCGATATATCTCAATGTCGAGTTCAAGACCACAGCAAGTGTTTTCTTCTTCTCATGTGTAAGATTTTGAATAAATTCTGCTTCATATGAATATAAAAAGAGGTCTGCTAGCCTAATAACAGGTTGCAATTGGTACCTATGGGAATTCTGACAGATTATTGGAAGACCTGGTCTCCAAAAACTACATAGATTATTGTCAATCACAGACTCAAGCATCCAAAAACCTGTATTACTAAAGTATAGCTCAATATGATCACCAAAATCATCATTGCTTGACATTATATGCATGTATAATCTTTCTTTAATATTAAAAACATTTTAAAAGGCCCTAATTAAGCCATCATTCTGACATTTATTTATGCATGATTGTGTATACTTTATGAACAATCTCTGCCACTTTCACGCTGATATGGCTACTTTTTTGTGTTTCTCTTGTTGGAGAGCTATAATCTCCAAACTTGTGTATTGAGTATAATAACTTTCATCCTTTTCATATTGGCCTAGGTGAAAACAGATAATACTACAGGTCACTTACTCAGAAGGATTACTTGATTTTGTTGATCATGTTGATTGATGGTAGTCTGCACAGTAGCGCTAGCAGTTTCTTTTTTACCATTTCACTGTGAAAAAAAAATGTGGAACTTATTATATATTAAAAATATTTACCACTACATTAGCATTGGTGATATGGTCATTGCTCTTTTTTGTAACAAATCAATTAAACACTGTACCTTTATATAGTACGAATTATATTGCATGTACTTTCGATCAATCTATTTAAAAAACATCAGATTAATTATCAATAGGTTCTTGAATTTTTAGTTTTTGTTGCATTTGGCTGAAATTACGAGAAAAACTTTATTTTGAACAAGCATTTATATGTACAGTATTGTACTTGCATACTTAAATACCTACTATAATTAAGATTAAACAAGCATTCTGAGAGTATTGCATTAGCAATACTAGTCCCCTACCAGCAAGTGTAATCTGGTTCCCACTAAAAATTGAATTGCCACAATTCCATTAAAAATCATTGATTCAGAAGCATAACAAAATGCAAACTTGAACTGTAACTCATCAAGATACACTTACATACCAAAACTCAGCTCAATATCTGCAAGTGTTTACAAAAAAGTGCGGAAAACAAATGGGACAGACTGAAAGAGGGACAGACAGACAGATGGACAGACTCAGAAGAAACCTATAATTCCCTCTGGTTTCACCGGTAGGGGACTAATAAAAAAGTGGGAAAAAGCCACCCTGTTAAGCCGTACTTTTGTCTCCCATGGTGAGCAGTGGAAAAAGGTCTTATGCTTGGATATGTTGTACATGTACTTTGTATCAATCTGTACATGCATAATCCATTGGCTAATGAAAGAGGCAATGTATTCGTAATGTAAACTTTTAAATGTAGTGGTAATGTGTACATTTTTTGCAGCGGTAATGAGTATGTAGCGGTAAATAATTACCATTTTGAAAATGTAGAGGTAATGATATTCACCTGGATAAAGAAATGGTCTATCTATTCCAATCACATTTTTTACAAGATAGGGCACTTCTTATTTGCTGTACATATAATTGTTTTCATTTTCACAGGGCTCTAACACTGCTTTTTGGGAATGGGGCCGGGCTGTAAAGATTGGGAAAATAAAGACCTTTTAGAAAATTTTGGAATAACCATTATACGTACTTTAAAATCATATATATTGGGTTTCCAGTCTTCGCTATCAACTAAATTTTTTTATAAAACAGAGGAATATGAATAGCAAGTTAAGTTATTACCGGTATATATCCAGCTATATTTTCTTTAATTTTTGGGAGAAATAACTATTGGGAAAATTAACACACTAATTGGGAAAAAAGGTACCTTTTTTGAATTGGGAGTGGGGCCCTTGAACGGCCCCAATTATACACAATTGAGAGCCCTGTTTCATATTTGAGAGGTCGATTTATAACCTTAGTTCTTCATTTTTTTAAGCTTTGGGTGTGTGTTGATTACAACATATCAAACGCTTATCATATGTCAAGTGACTTATCTTTAAGTTATTGTCAAAGAAATTTCAAGTCTGTTAAAATCTTAATGTTTAAATAACTTGTGCCCTGTAGGAAATAAGATTTTGTAGCAAATAGTCTTTACAACCGAGCTGCAATTTACCCCAAGCTATAGGCTGAAAAAGGGGGTGCATATTTAAACCAATGCATATTACATTCAGCAAGATACATGTATGGTAACTGCTTGATTGTCACATTTCAGTTTGAAACATGTTACAAGTTTTATTTCAAAAACTGAAAATATTATTGAAAAAGTAAATACAAATACCCATTGACAAAAACTATCTACTAGGGATGGCAATTTCTAACTGGTTAACCGATTACTCGGTCGGAACGATGGCAATTGGTTAGAAAATCTGCAATCGATTAGTCAAAAAAATATTATTAATAATATATGTAAAACTGAAGGCAATGTACTAAAATTCATTTTCAAAATAGAAATTCCTACCTAAACGTTTAATTTAGCGTTTTCATTTATTTATTTAGGCTGATTGGGAGATCATTATGGCTCTCCAGATTACAACTGCGGGTAATTGGTCAGTCTGAGATATGTTAATTACTGTTAAAACATCATGTCGTTACCCCGACTGTCCTCTAATCTTTAATGATAATAATCACAGTTGAGCACCGTGAATTGGTGTGTGTGTATCTTTTGCAGTTATCTATCACATTAAATTATAATACAAACATTGTAAATTAAGTGATACATTTTAGACTTAGTTTTGATTATGGTGATAATGAAGAATGAACTTGTGTGACATCCGCTCTGGAAAATTATCCACGATATCTCAGGCATGGTTCATGGTTTTCTGAATTTTTTCTTGTCTATTGAAAAAAAATATGCGCGTAGTTTTATGATCAAGATTAAAGACAAATAGAATGATTTTGACCTCTAACATCTTTTTTTAAGACTTCTTGTGCATAGGAACAGAGCTACTTGAAAAAAGTCAAGAAAATGACATTGTGTAGTTTGATACGATTAACCGGTTAATCGGTTGGAACGTTTTGCGGTTAACCGATTTGCAATTCTGTATTCGATTGCCATCCCTACTATCTACTAAGTGGTCAGTATGTAAATTGTAACTGGTTACAAAACTGGTTATGAAAATTTCAACTGGTTATGATCTTTCTCAATAGTTAATAAACCAGTTAATCATTGCCATCCTTATTTTAAAGAGACTTTGTGACAAGTTTGATTTAAACTGGTCCAGTAGTTCTTGAGAAGAAGTTGAAAAATGTGAAAAGTTTATGCATGACCCAAGCCCTTGCTCATGCAAAAACATACAAAAACAGATAGAAATATGTTACCATGGTTACCTAAGTAATTCAGTTAACTTATATCAAAACCACACATTGTCATATAAATAAGATTAAGAGTAAGTGCTTTTCAAGGGTCCAGATCAGCATTCAATCAGTATCAAAGTATCATGGTCTTTAGAGTTTTGTATATGCCTTTTGTCTTCAATGGTAACCTGTACTTATACATGTACTTAAATATGGCCATTGAGGAGACCACTTATAATTAGGCATAAAGTAGACCAGTGAGAAAAATTGAGTAAATTGAATTAACCCTTGATATCAAGTATATACTATATATAAATATACCATTCTGATGATCTTATTCACTATATGCATCAATACCCTGTATTATATTATACTGCATATCAAATTAAAACTTATTTATTGTGTCACAACTGAAGTGTTGCTGGACTGAAAGACATAAAGATGGACAATATGTGAATCCTATAGAGTTTTATCATTTCATGCAGGCCCTAATTAACATTCCATCAGTGATAAAGTACCTTGCACTTAGATTTTTATATTTACCTTTGTCTGCTATAGCAACCTGTACTTATACATGTTATACTTAAATATGGCCATTGAGGAGACCACTTATAATTGGGCATAAAGTAGACCACTGAGAAAAATTGTTGATATCAAGTATATACAGTATATAAATACACCAGTCTAATGATCTCATTTACTGTATGCATCAATACCCTGTATAGTATTACACTGCATAAATTAAAACTTGTTTATTGTGTCACAACTGAAGTGTTAATTGCTGGCTGAAAGACATAAAGATGGACAATGTGAATCCTATATAGCTTTAACATTTCATGCAGGCCCTAATTAACATTCAATGAGTGATAAAGTACCTTGCACTTAAGATTTTTATATTTACCTTTTGTCCGCTATAGCAACCTAGTTCTTATACTTAAATATGGCCATTAAGGAAACTGCTGATAATTGGGCATAAAGTAAACCACATAGAAAAAAATTAATATACTTAATGGGAAAATTTTATTGTACTCACTGTTAATAGCAAGTACATTTATATGCATGTATTATATAATATATACAGTGGCACCTTGTTGATCCGGACGCCTCTTTGGCTTAAGTTTGTTAAAAATAATATTGATTAATTTTGAACTGTTTCTTATTTAATTATTGCACAGTGTACTGGTGTAAGCTAAATTCTTCGAGCTTCATATTAGATGTGTAATTTAATTGGGGTAAATACACGCTAATTTTAGATGCTATTGTTTGTAGGTCACAGGTATCGCCTTCAAACTGACTGCATGGCCAATGTTTTTACTACAATTAACACTACTGCAAGATCAGGGGTTGAAATATATGGTAGCCCGACGCCCTGGGGCTAGTTATTTTAAGACTGGGGCTAGCTTATTTAAATGTAATGATAGTCTGTCGGACTAGCAGAACAGAAAAAAAATTCTCGTCAGTTTACTTTCATTTTTCTATGAAGACTGGTTTCTTTTGACTGAGAACTAGTTTAATTTGTTTCTGTCACCAAAACATTCAAAACTTTAACTTTTTGTTTTCATTTTGCATAAAAAAATTGTTGGGCTAGTTAGTTTGGGCTAGTAATTTTTTCCTGATCAGTAGCCCCTGGGCTAGTGGGATTTCCAGGAAAATTTCAACCCCTGAAGATAAGTGTGAAAAGGTCATTTCTTGAAAAATTACCGTCCGGATAAACAAGTCATTTTTCAATGAACTATTACGTTTTGTAGTAGAAATCAACCGTCCGGATGCGGAACACATTTTTCTGGATTAATGAGACAGAATGACATGGAAAAAATCTATTCCCGAAAAATAGCATCTGGAAGGTGAAGTGTTCAGATAAACATGGCGCCACTGTATATACCATAAAAGACTATGACCTATGGTACATATTGTCAGAGAAAGCTGAACACATCTCATAAATAGGCATACACCATATTCGATTATATATCATCTACTATATCAGCACCGGGGTATACTCTTCGCATTTGTTACACCTGACTGCTTTATTGTCACAGGTATCGGAGTGGAATGGTGACACATGCTCATGCTGGTTATCTTGCATTGCCTTTGTTTATTTATTTTATTGCAGTTGCGTGTACTTGTGTATGTTTGTATACTGCACTGACCTGTGCAACTGTTTTAAGTTTCATTGGCATCTTTCTCTCCTGCCGTGAAAGAAGTACACAGTAATTTTTTGTCGCTACCGAGAGCTATGTAGCATACGTCAGTCTGTCTATACAGACAGGTGACAACAGATTACACTGAACAGTGACTAAGTGAGTGGCTTATATAGGGACCCTACAATATAGCGTGAATAAAGGAATATGGCGGAAAAAATTCCTTTTACACAGTGTGTTCAGATTTAAAATCATTAACTTTAAAGCAAACTAATGGATTACATACCTTTTCCCATAATTCACTTCAAATTCCTACTCATCATGTATGGCTACTTCAGAATCTCACATGTATACATTCTTTGACTTTTCTACAGGAACATTATTTCCTACAATGTACAATCACATTTTAAAACATTCAAATATTACTTCCAATTGGACATAATTGGTAGTTCACAAGCTAGAAAGCTCACTCAGTAGTTGGATTGATTGTTTAATTGTATGTTGATTGTTTAATTGTATGTCGTTTTACATCCCGTTTAAGAATTTTTCACTAAATAGAGACGTCACCATATAATGGTCAACAATCTTTTCAACAGTTTTTTTCTAAAGAGATTTCAGGCTGTCTTTACTGCAATTGTCATCAGTCTACATTACCACCCATTGTGGTATACTGGTCCCGATTTGTTTTCATAGGATTTAAGTTTTAGTTTGTGTGATAACTGGATATCAAAAAGTTTCAAAGTAGAGTGTCATGAGCTCATCAATGCTAATTATCAAAACACTACTTCTAGAAAATCAAAACATTTTAGTTAAATTAACCATTCAAAGTATTTTTTGAAAAGTAAAACAAAGGTCAAGGTCAAGTGAACTGTAATGCTGGTATTTTTCATTATAATTTATGACAAATTGTGCACATGCTAAATAGCAAAGACTTACCTCTTTTAAATTATCAAAAATATGCTGAATATTGGCACTGACTTTTTTATAAGTAGGTCAAAGGTAAGTTCAAGGGTCACAAGATTGGCAACCATGGTATTTAAAAAAAAAGTCACAGTGCCAAGCAAAATATTAACCAAATATCAAAAACAATTAAACCTCTTACAATTCTCGAGATATAAGGTGTGACAGATGGACAGACAGACAGACAGATGCCAGGTAAATTGATCCCTACGTGTTGCACTGCTGTGCAGTCGACTCACAAAAAATGTTCTTACAGGGATAGACATTAACTTTCAGATTTTCTTGCCCTTCAGGCAAATGATCTCAAACTTTGACTTGTCCGGACTCAAAACTTGGTTGCCCAAAATAAGGAAAGAACTTCAGAAGAAATTTTTTATTACTGTAAATGTTATGACAAGAAAAAATGCGACCAAATACACTACCGTCAATTTGGCAATGTGAGGTACCTGAAAAAATTTAAAGATTACCTGCAGTAGCATTTTATTTTTTTAAATGATAAAGATCACAATAAAATAATACGAAAGAAAAAAACCGCATTGAAATCTATGCACAAATAACGAAGTTATCGCGCTTTAAAAGTGCCTATTTTTACCTGTTTTGAAAATCCAATCAAGCGAAAATAGAAATGATCGATAACGAGGCTCTGCTGGTGTGACGTCACAACATGTACCACATAAGCGGGTCAGTATTAACGACAATGAGATTAACTTGGAAAACAACGACGATTTTAGCTTTGATATGAGGCATTGGTCTATAAGTTTTAAAAATTCAGACGGAATAATTATTGAGCTTTGCATCAGACCTTACTAGGCTGAACCAGAAACCGATTCTAACAAGGAATTTATCAGTTTATAGAGATTTCAAAACAACCTACAGCCAGGGTCGTGTATACTTCAATTAAAATTCCTGTATATATCTCCCTGTTACAGCCTACTGAATATGACTGGGAAAAAAAATCATCAAAACCAAAATACAGGAATTTTTAATTCTATATTTTAAATGTCCTAAAACAGTTCGTTCATCAAGCTGTTAATTATTTCAACAAGATCTTCATTACTATCAGCTAAATGATAATTGACGATTTTCTCGTTTGGATAAAAATTCTTCTATGTCTAAATTTGATAATCAGTTGTTACCATTTAGCAATCAGCAGCAGCAATATTATCAATTTAATTTTACTTCAAAGTCACGACCAAATATATTTTCAAAAATCGGGTCATTATCAATGTACAAGTTATTAAAACTAATTGTTAAATAATGATATCCGCGTACTCCTTATTATGGTAATGTACTTATAATTTTTTTTTTGTCACTGTACTAATTAAAATTAATTTACAAAATAAAAATTTAGAACACTTAACATTATATCAAATAGTGTGTCTGCAACGCTAAATAAATCTTAACCCCTCTCATCTCTCTCTCTCATAGTCTATGGTCCTAATTACAGAAGACCCCCCTCCCCTTATCAAATCTGTAATAGATTCGGAAACAAAACTCATATATGTAATTCCGATCGTTAGTGGTTTTATGAATAATTTAAATTCTAAATGTATATTGAATTTAGAAGAATAACATGTCAACTGAGAAAAAAAATCATTTTTTTTAATTATCACTAATTCAACAGACAATCTATTATAATTCAGTAAAATATGAACTAAAAGTTAGGTGAATATACTTGTGTTTTGTATATTTTTTTTTAAACTGTATACAAATCACCATTTGACAGACTAAACAGTTTTAATTCATTAAAGTGTAAAATATTTAATCTATCAGATTTTTCAACAAGTTCTTGGTAATCAGTTTAATTTACACATGTGGTGGGGTAGGACTTGGGATTACGTGATTAATACACTTGCCATGGTCAAGACCGATGACTTGGAAAGGTGTGATAAACATTCGGTACCTCCGGCTATTTATTTATGTCCCACTATATATTTGACAAAGGAGCCGATGAATGTCTCAAAACGCACCATTCAAAATTGCATCGAGTGATTTTGATTGACAGGTGAAGCACGTGGATTTCGCACGTAACCACGGAGACGAACATGTTACAGGTCCCTGGTGCAGGAAAATAAGAAACACGAATAAACAGAAGTTGAATAAGCAAGAAATTTATTTAAAAATGGCTTTGACACATTATGTAATCAAAAATCATGTGTGTGTGTGTTGGGGGGGGGGGGGGGGTACTTATAAATTCAACTGACGTTAAAAATGAACAATCCAATATAATAATAAAAATGTTACTGATATTGAAGATATAACGAAGAACATAAAATTAAATAACATTTGTTGAATCAATAACATGGGGAGGGGTGTTAAACAAGGAAATCTCAGTCTCACTCACTCTCTCATATTAATTCTATGTACTTCCCAATACTAAATAATAGAAAAATATATACGCGTATTCTATACTTTCACTTTTCAAAGAATACAACAGCAAACATCATATAAGTACTTACCAGGGACCTATACACTAACCCTGTACTTACTTTCTTTTTTATTTAAATTAGAAATGTTTTCTATTATTAACGTACGTTTACGATCTACGATTTGTTAGTGAAACGGTCGCCTGTACTGTCTTTTTGTTATTATTGCTTACAGATAGAATTTAAAAAAATGTCAAAACATATTCGGAAGGAAAAAAAATGACGATAGAAATGGCATAACCATTAAGAAATAATGAAAAAAATATTCACTAAACTAATTTCAAACAAAAATAAGAGCAAATACTATAGTCATAGTTAATTTAATATTCACAAAATCCCTAAAAATTAATGGAAAAAACACTAAAAAACCTCATCGTGTTTCCACCGTATTCTATGCATTCAAAATGGCCGGTACATGTTGTGACGTCACAGCGGCTAAGGCCCGAAAACCGAGCGTTTCAGAAAATCGCTCAGGTGTGAAATAGGGTTTTTCCCCAATAGCTTCGTTAGTTGTGCATAGATTTCGGTGCGGTTTTTTTCTTTGGTTTTATTTTAGCATGATCTACAACATATTTAAAAATAAAAAGCCACTGCGGGTACCCTTTAAATGCTGCCTTTGTACATAAATGTATACCACTGTCCTTGTAAATTTAACCTGTTAACACACACTGCCATATACATGTAGCAATAACCCTCCGTTTAATAAATAAAATTCATATTTTTAAAAATTTTTTTTGGTAGGATTCTTTTGTGAATTGTGATTTTCTGAGATAACTGTGAAACAACGCTGAAGGAAGATAGTTGCTACGTAACACACCTTGATCAGGATACATCGTGTTAAACTGTACTTATATTCTTTGAGTAAATAAATAATCTGATGTCCAAATAAGAAGTTAAGAAAGATGTTAGACAGTGAATAGACGAACAGCATATTTACCATGGGAAAACGGAATAACGAACCTGATTTTCAAATGAAAGGTATAATCCAAAAATGCTGACAAGGAATTCCGAATGCAAAAACATTGTCAGTCAGGTACCTGGCAGAAATCAAGTCTTCAAGAACAAGGTACGGTTTCAATACAAATCTTGCCCTGTGTTTTTCTTAAAAATGAAAGTGATGTAAAAAAAATTAAAGCTCATGCTTTTTGAATCATTGAAATTCCATGGAGAAAGATCATACAAATCATTTTTCTCACATGACCTTCTAAATGCTAACTGTGACGTCATAAACTTATACATTTTCCCGTATTTTCTTAAAAAGTTGCAGAAGACTACCAATTTTCAATGGAATTTTCTTTCAGATAATATTGTCCACAGGCATTGCCCACAAAGATTTTGAGATATGTGATTTTTCAAAGAATTTTACACAACATATCCGAAGATTAAAGTGGGCGACAGCTGTGGACACTATTTTCTTAAGGAAAATAACCCTTGAAATGGGTCATTTTGAGGCTTTTTCTGTTTAAATAGAGAAATGCATCAAATTAATGACATCATATTTCCAGAATGGCATTCCTTCATGCCATATTCTTTCCTCATTTATCAAAGTCATATACTCAGCTAATATTTAAGCCAGTTTCAAAATTTTTTGAAAACATTAAATTTTTAGGGCACGATAAAGCTAAAACCGTACCTTCTTCTTTATTTTTTTTTTATATAAATTAATGTAAACTAAATTAATATGTACATTTCTATGAAAAAAAAATCACTTGCCCAATCAGACAAGTACGTCGTAAGATTCACTTGCCCGAACTGAGAATTTACTTGTCCCGGGCAATCGGACAACCGTTAATGTCGATCCCTGTGACTTATTTATCATTGGAATGACTAGTAAACACCAAACTAAACTTAACCTGCTTAAGTGAGCCAGTAGTGCCCAGTACAGAGCAACAAGTGCTGTAAACAGCGAGTGAAGTGTGACCGATTGATTGAGTGTTGTTTTATGTCCCATTCGAGAATTATTTCACTCATAAAGAGTGAAGGGTTAAATAATTACGATAAAATGTAAGGAGGCAAGTCTGCCTCACCATAACCTGGTTCTTTGTGGCCCTATTTTTAACCTTCATACCCATCTCCACTGGGAATTCATTTCCCCCCCCCCCCCCCCCCCAACAATCAAGTCATGACTCCATAAGCAGCCAAAGGCTGTAATGGGCAGCTAGTTCATTAACAGCTAGGGCTATCAGGAATTCAAAGTCACTGAAGTTCTTTTGGTTTTTATGATACTATCAAACTATCAGTCTATCACTGAGTATCTGCATGCTTTAAAAGTTAGTATTTACCCCTGATTTCCTTTAATTAAAGCTTTTGTGTCTATTTTCTGCTCACAATTTATTTACAGTTTATAACTAATAAAGCAGCAAATATACCTTACCCCATGTTGCAGATTCTCTTCATCCAAGTAATTGATGTACATTGTACTTAATCTCTTCATCTGTTCATCTGGATCCTTTCACTGCATTCAGACAGTACCAGTAACTGTTATATATGGATATATTTCCTTGTCAAAGCTGTCACTTTTTGGGCACAATTGCTAAGTTTGCACCTTTATCAGCATTATTTATTAATGAAATGACAAATTCCGTCAGACACACCTGCAAAAATGAAAACAAAATCTATTAATTTACATATAATCATGTCCATATTCTCTTGACTTCATTATTATATAATTGAACTGTTTTATACTGCACTGCAAATATAAAGGGCTGGGATAATACACTTTCGTCTACTATTCTATATCTAAATAAATATACTATATTAGGTATCACAATATTTATGCTACAATACAGATCACAATATTTTTAATCGGTTATAATTTTTTCATTTTATATTAAAATGAGACAAAGTTTGACACCATGCATATCCAAAGTCTCTAAAAATTTACAATTTTAGTCATGTATATGTGTTATGCAAGGGTGTAACTGTCAGTACTTCCAAAATTTATCAAGCATGACATTTAAATTGATACAAATATTTTGATTTCAGCTTTTCTTTTTCATGAAGTTAGACTTAAATATTCTTTTATAATTTTCAAATCAAAATAAAATCAAAAACTTTTAATTTCTTCATTTTATTTGCTTGGAAAATAATTATTTTTTTCTTTTGTATTTGTACGAGTATTTAGTTTCAAACTAGTTCTACATGTATATTTAATTTAGCTAATCAGTGAAAATCTATATGTTTGATTTACTTCAGTTTACATGCCTGTGTGTGCATTATATTCAGGGTTCGAAATTCACTATATACAACTCGCAAAATGCGAGTTAGAATTCCCAAATTGCGAGTTAAAAATTAGGTAACTCGCAAAAACTTGCGAGTTGATTTTTTTTGCATTGAAACTGTAGCAAAATTATATAATATGACAGAACACAATGCTTTTGATTTAAATCAGTAATTTAAATAAAAGTCACACTGTAGTTGTATTCTGTGTATTGTACAGTAGTTATTTTTTCCTTAAGTTACATGTATTTAATTTATTTAAATTTAACTTTATATGAAAATTGCGAGTAGTCTTATAAAATTGCGAGTTCACTTTCTTGGTACTCGCAATTATTTGCGAGTTGTAATTTTAGGGAGTTTCTAACCCTGATATTACAAATCATGGGATCTGTGCTTGTAGGTGCACTCAATGTTTTAAAGTTATTCATAATTTGAGAATTATTGTCTCTTTTTTTTATTGTCAGTATATTTAAACCAATATTTTTTGGTTTTACAAAATAATATGAATTTTCTTTTTTCAAAAGAGATGATGCGAATTATAATTTCAATTTTAATTTTGTTTATATATTGTTGCTGTGATCTCAATAACCTATTAGATAGAATGTTCTAATCATTAAAATGATATTGTCCTACGGACCTGGTTTAACGATAGAATTCGTTCCGTGTATTGGCAATGTAGCAAAATAAGCAAGTTCGATAACTCGAACTGACTGCATTTTCTATGAACAATCCAGAGAGTTCCGAATTCAACAAGGCGTGTAAATTTGAAGTGAGGAAAAAAGGTTGAGAAAATGAGTTGAAATTTCTTATTTATATGGATTATTTTTTAGGTTAAAAGGCATATAAAATCTCAAAAAGTTTTGTTATGATTAATTTGATAGTTATTTTCAGTGCAATTTTTTTTGTATTCTTCAAAATCATTTCTGAGCGGATCCTTTCCAATATGCTACATTGCTTAGGCCTAGTACAGTGGCTGCAACGTTATTGTTGACAAACCAATCGTGTAGAATCGTTCGTGTAACGTGCGTGATCGTTCGTGTAACGTGCGAGATCATGCGTGTATCAGACTCAATCCTTTGCGGTTTTAATCGTGCGTGATCGTGCGCTAAGAAACGTGTAAACTTCGTTTTGTAATTTTTTATCGGAATGTTATTTGTTATACAAGCATTTCGCTTGTCTGTGTTTTTTTTTTAATCCAAATGAAATAAATGAAGCGGGAGTTACATAATTGAAAGCAGAACGAACTAATTATCGCTTGGAAATAAGCAATACAGAAGTCGTACAATATTGTGTTCTCGTCAAATAGCGTGATTTGTTGTGATAAACCGTACTTATATGTTTAAAGATTTTTTCTCTGATGTTGATTATGTTTACTGCTAATTATGGTCCAGATATTTTTAAAATCAATAGATCAAAAATTGATATTTTTACAAATAAATAAATAAACAATTCTCAATTAATGCTTACATAAATATTTAGTCGGCGAATGTACATGTACCCGACATGATTGTAGGGGTTTCGTTTATCAATGTTTATCTCTGGAGCTTACTTTTAATTATTTTCATAATTTTTGCAAATAAATGATTTGTAAAATAATTGTTGACTTTAGAGATTCACAAATGGAAACATGGAAATAACTTATACATGTAATTCAATTCATTTTCATGCCGTTTTTTTTCAAACTTATCCCTTTCTGCATATTATGAAATCCAATTCAATCAAAACTCATGGTCCACCTATATGTACATCTACTGATAGAACGAAAATAAACAGTTTTCTCAAGTCGGAGAATTAAGTAAATAATTATTTGTAATCTAAGATAATTTATAAGTTTTACATGTATTTAGTTCCAGAAATATCCATTTATATTTTTTTTTTTTCATTTTTCAAAGTCAATGAAATAATATCAATAATTATTTGAAATCTACAATAAGTATTAAGCCTAATTTCGTTTTGAAAATATCCATTCCTAAAGAACTTGAACTATTCTGCGTGAAGAATCGTGCGTTTGCGTTAGCAATCGTGTAAGATCGTGTAACGTGTAGAATCGTGTGCGTAAAGGATCGTTCGTGTAACAGATTTTATCGTGCGTTAATCGTGCGGAATCGTTCGTGTAAGTTGTCAACAATAACGTTGCAGCCACTGTATATGGGACATATAAACTGTGGTGATCGAGGGCTTGTTCCGAGACACAGTTAGATTGTTCTAACTAGCAATAACCCAACACATGTATCTTGTAAGTCGAACACATGTATTTCACAAATTCAGTAAATAATTCTAAAAAAAAAGAAGAAATCTTGTAAAAATTAAGATATTCCATAGAGAAAATTACCCAGAATACGTTGTAACATAACAAACACTGACATATACTCGAACAAAACTTAAGTATGAAAAATAATCAGATAATGGGTCAAAATCACACCAGTGACCACCTACCCTAATCAACTGTTATCCACAAAAAAAAATTATATACTTATATGTCAATCTACTTCCAAAATTACATGTTTTCCAAGATCTTACAAAATTATTTTTACAGTATGTCTCTTCAAATATTTGTTTTCCTGCTTAATAGTACTGATCATGCTGATCAGACGATAATGGGTGGGTGATATTAAGATAGTATGCCCTCATAAACTTTTAGTCCCAGACATATGAACCAGTGATTCATTTTGAAAATGGTTATCATGGGTCCAAAAGACCCCCCTTAATGACAACAATGAATCCCATGACAAAATCAGTGCATCCAAATCCAAGGGTCATATATTAGATATTACAGAGGAAATTCTGGTGAAATATAAAAAGTTATTGCATGAAAGAGCAAATGCTTTATTGATGCTGTGAGTAGTTTTATAATTTTACTATCAATTGTCCAAGTAAGACTACATGATTTTGTGTCATAAATATAATATATTGTCAACTGTGCACTTTGGTTCTATTTTTAGATCGTACATATGATCTCACACATTGTAATGTATCACTCATAAAATGCACAGAAGCAGAATGAAGCAAAGAAATTTTAAGAAGAAATGAAAAAACAGTCAGAAATAAAAATGATTAAATTTTAAACTTCTTAGCTTGTAAGGAAAAAAAAATGATACAGGTTACATGTATAGCTTTTACATAGGTATAGTATTCGCTTCAGAAATGTTCCACAGTTACTACAGACATAATCAGTGATAATCGAACTATGCTATCTAACTTTCAAATATTTTCTGATAATTGCTGGTTAATTGGCTGCAATTGTGAAATCTGACCTGTTGTTGGAAACCTTATATATACCTGTTAAAATTGTTCATGCATATCGCTTAGCACATGGATATGATGCAATCAGTCAAGTTTAGAATCGGATTATACCAAATAATACACGTTCTTCTATAAATTTATTGCGTCCATTGGGATGCACATTTATTAAAATAATGCGTCCTGAGCAAAATTTGTGCATAATTTATGCAGGATGCACACCAAAATGAATCATTGATGAACACCATATTTTTTAGCGCAACATACAAAGAACTATGTAGCAACCTATGATCTACAGCACATGTAATTTTCATAATGCTAGCTCACATCATAAGGAATACATATATGACTAGCAGTGGTTTAAGTGTTTGCTTTAGAGTCACAGATAAAGGAGTTGATCCTAAAATCAAGGGGTTCGAATCCCACTGCAGGATGTGGAGACCAGTGTTCAAATGAAACTGAAGTCCCATGTTGTAGTAGGTGCTGGCATGAACAAAATTACTCACTGCTCAAGGGTCCTGAGTACAGAGTATTGGTTCTCAAGTGCTGGCTTTTCAATATGAGTGAAAAGTTATCGAAAGAAACGTCATAGAAACAAATAAATATGACTATAAATAATTCTCTTTTCTTACCATTATGGATGTTGTACATGTCCCTTTCGATAATGAAAAAAATCTTTTTATGTCAACTTCTCATTTTCTCACCCGCCTTTTTCTTGCTAATCTTCTCTCCAACATACTGGAGAAGGTATTCTCGCATATTATGTGGTACCGAACACACTATAATAAAAATAAATGCATAAATGCAAACAAGTCAACAAAATTTAATTTATTCAGAGACTTGGTTTTATATGTCTCAGACTGTCATAAATCTCACCCTAGGCATCTTCGCTAGCCAAGGGTTTTTGATACGCTACTCTCCTCATAAACTTATGAGGAGGGTAGCATATCAGAAACCCTTGGCTAGCGAAGATGCACCATAGGCAGTTAAAAATTTCCTGAGAAATCTGGTCAGAATTTTAAAACATAATTTCAAAAAAAAAAAAATTCATGGGAAAATATACGGCATATAAATAGCCATTGTACAAAATGCAGGAAACTTTCCTGGAAAGTTTAGAAATTGAAACTGTAAAAATATTATCATACCATCAAACCATGTCCATGCTGATCAAAAGACTCAACAATGTATTAACTAACCCGATCAAAATTAAACTGAACCCGACCGAAAGTTTCTAATCTACATATACAAGTAATACATGTAGACTCTGCATAACAATTTTATTAAAATAAAAAAAATATTGCTTGTTATATGGTTTTATAATTAAATTGAGAGTATAAGCAAGTTAATTTCTCCATGACAACTGCATAAGATAAACAGTATCTTTTTCATTATATGTAAAAAAAAAAAAAAAAAAAAAAAAAAAATGCTTAAATTGATCAGGATCTGTTTCATATGAATCAGGACTTGTTCAAGCTTGACAACAAGCAATTTTTCTTCGGGTCTCTTTTATTATTTAATTTCAACTTCTTTTTGAAATTAAGATTATCTTCTAATACTTCTTTTCAAAATGAAACACTTAATAGGTTTATAAATAAATGAAACATTAAAAAAAAATCAATATAAAATACAGGCCTGTAAGAAGCAATTTCAGTTTGGGGGAGGGGGGGACAGCCATGCATTTTCTTTGGGGGGCACTAACAACCAAAAATTCCTTGACAAGCTTTAAAAAAAAAGAAAAAAAGAAAAAAAAAGGTCATCAGGCGTTTTTATTGAGGGGGCACAAGCATGTAGTAGCTATGTTTTCTTTAGTATTCTATATTTCGGCAAAATTATTGGGGGCACTGAGTCTACTATTATAGAAAAAATATTGCAAGAATTATACAGTATATCTGTTGTTACTCAATCATGGAAAGTGTAATACATATAACTATTAACTGATATGCTCATCTCTGATATAACCTGTTAATTAATCCTCCATTCATGCCAAAAGGTACAGTGTAATAGATTGATTAGAATATCATTGGTGTATAATAATATTATTACTTTCTACTACATGTAATGTGTCGGCTAGTGTGATGTCACAGATTTAACTTGAGGCACAAATAATGGGTAAGCATGGAGGCTGATGCAGACCTAATATAACACTTGAATTTTGGCTTAATTTTTATTTCCAGTTATAGGATTATTTTTGTCATTAAACAGAAAGTTAGACTGTAAGTATGGGTACAAAAATGCACATTGTCAAAAATGCTCTTTTTTTTTGGCATTTGCAACAAAATGAAATTAATAGATAACATTTATCATCAACTCCCCCCCCCCCCTTTCAACCAAATTTCTATCCTTAAAAAAAATGATGTGTAGCCTACAGCCTTTTTACATATATGGAATATACACGGTAACACCACAAAATATTTCCACACATCCTGCACCCAAACCCCACCTCTAACCCGATTAAAAATATTAATCTGGTCCCTTTGAATTTTTTAGCAGTTTGTAGCCCTTAATTCCTCTTTATTTTTAAAGATATTTCAAAATTGTTGCTATATTGGGCTTGTCCAAATCAACTTTATGTTTTATGTACAAGAAATCTAAGAGGGATGCTGTCAGATACATAAATTTGTATGTACATATGCATGCATGTATCCGCTGCCATATACATCAGAGATGTGGTATCGTGGTTGGAGGGGGTGGGGTGGGGGGCTCCTCCCCTCCCCCAATTAATCTTTTACTATTAAAATTGTTCAGGAAAGGCTGGTTGGATTAGGCTGTGAAAAAAGTTTGAACCTAGAAACACCTTTCTCCCATTTCCAACCCAACCTACCCCTTGTATAATAGGAAATTAGAGTTAGTATTTCAGGTAAATTATCGAATATTTAATTTATCTCCGCAAGAACGATACCACCAGCCTAATATTAAGTATATATTTATGAATACGCACAGATTACAATTATTTTGTTCAAGTAATCAATTGTTAGGAACCAGTAACTTGTAAGAACTTGTTTCCGATCCATTTGCTTATGTCAATAAAATATGTTCAAAACAAACAAACGATCTGTTGAAACCACGCTGTTGGTAAACTACAATTCGAATTTCCTCCATGCTAATAAGTATACGCAAGTCTTTATCAATGAATAAATACCAGACGTTAACCGCAAGATATTGGGTGCATAATATATAGTCAAGGTATCATGAATAAGTATTTTTAAAAAATCATAATTTGTTATTACTTACCAAAATTTTGTCTGACTCCTATTTCTCCGAAGGTCGTAAAGGATACCGAGGATTTCCGAAAATTTTCGGAAGGCATTGCGCACGAAAACCTTGAAGTTGATGAACACGAAACTCTAAAGCTCATTTTCTCGTAAAAAGTTTTATTCTATTTAGCAAATTGTACATACCCAAAATTAGTGGGAGAACAATATCTAAAACTAAATACTAGGAGAAATAAGACATATATAGCAGATCTTACTTAATTTTGCAAGTTTTAGCTGGTCTACATAATGACGATATATAATAATACCAATATATACGTTGCTTGAAATTTAAATTTAAAAATTTCTATAATCATAAATTTTTGGCATATTTTTTGTATTTAAGGGACAAAAATATACTAAACTAAAATTAACTATTGTCAATTTAATTTTAAAAAGTCATTAATTTTCTGTTCAGAGAGGGTCAAAATGTTAAGGCGACCGGTTTTGGTCTACTTATTCTACGAGGCTACTTAATGCCAATATATAAATATGAGCGGTCTCCTAAATGGCACAACCATATATATATATATATATATATATATATATATAACTCTGATTTAAGGACTAGGGAGACCAGACCATTATATATGGCTTAAGGGGACAATATACAGATTTTTTAAATTTGCTTTTTTCTAAAAAGAAATACCAGATCAAAGATCTATAGAACACCATTTAGTCGACTCTTGCTTTATTTTTTCATAATAAATGCCTCCTAATAATATATGAAAAAAATGGTCTCCTTAATATTTTATGTTTCTCTCATATGACTTAAGGAGACCAGTGTATATTTTTTATAAATATAACTTGTGGTTTAAGTAGACCATTTTTCTTTCATAGAAATTTCACTTATTATGCATTAATTAACATATTGTTTCCAACCAGAATAGTTGCGGATGGTCATTAGTCAAGGTCAGCAGAAAGATATTTGTGCTAATGTGACTCAACATGATCAGTACAAAACTTTGAATTAAACTAAAGTCATTGCACAAGTGACTTAAATAGAGAGTAGTTGCCCCAGTGGCGCAGTGGTTAGAGCGTCTGCTCTAGAGTAGCGAAGTAAGGAGTTGATCCTTACGTCGCAGGTTCAAATCCCACTGTGGGATGGGGAGACCGGTCCTTCAGATGAGACCGTATAAATCGAGGTCCTGTGTCGCAGTAGGTGCTGGCACGAAAAAAATCCCTCGATGCTCAATGGCCGTAAGTTCCGAGTATAGGACAAAATTTGCAGATCTCCACTGGCATGTGGTGGTGTCTCCATATGAGTGAAAAAATCTTGAGAGGAATGTTAAACAACATACAATCAATCAATATATAGAGAGTATAAGCCCAGAGTAGCTTGTTCTGATATCCACATTTAACTCTCAATGCTGTCGCCCACATGGTGCAGTGGAAAGAGCCTATGCTCTAGAGTCGTGGAGTTAGTTGATCCTTTTGTCACATGTTTGAATCCCACTGTGGGACGTAGAGACCAGTCCTTCGTACAAACAGAGGTCCAGTGTCGCAGTAGATGCTGGCATGAAAAAAATCCCTCACTGCCCATTGGCCCTGAGTGCCGAGCATAGGTCATTTGCAGCTCTCCATCGGCAAGTGTTGGCATATGAGTGAAAAATTCTCCAGAGGGACGTTAAACAACAAACAAACTCTCAATGCCCAAAACAGTTTAACCTAAAAGTGAATGCAGACACAGATTATTCTTTAGACCAAGTATAGTATACTCCATATTGTTTTGTTGAGGACACAAAGTTCACAGTGGACATCAAGTAGTTTTTCCTGCTATTTATACCCAGCTTCTTTTAAACCATATAGTCACCGAGTGCATTCGCTTTCCAACTAATTGATGAAGTTCTGACCTATGCCTATATTTGTTTAAATTCTTTCTGATTTAAGAATACATTTGACCAGTTGAAACCAAGAGTACATGTACTACATAAAATTTCAAGGTTGTGATTAAGATTCAGTAAAAGTTATGCCCCATCCAGTATAGCAATATGTGGATGCCATGTTCAATATACCCGGTACATATTTGCTATCATTAAACTTGCAGAGACCATGAATCAAAATAATTCAAATACTTAAAAATCATTTTATTTTTACTGCTAGTCAAAATACAGTCACTCAAGCATATCCTTTGTTAATTTGAAAAAAAAAAATGATAGTTTAACATTTATTATTAATACCATACCAAAGCACAAGATAGTGCACTTCTTACATAATCCAATGATTCATGCTGTGATTTTACCTATTTAGATGTTTCTTATTTACAGTTCAGTATACATGATATACCAGTACAATGTGACACTAACCTAGTATCAATTAAATGGATCATTACTATTCTGTTTTTAAGAAGTTTGCAGGGTAAAAAGTATAATAAAATAAAAATGTTGATACATTTATTGATTGCATATGCTAAAACCTTTTATAAAATATCAAACATTGTATCATAACAGCTTTTACAAATTAATTCAATACATTCAAAGGTACAAAAATCAAATTATTTTCATCCACAGTTTTATCATATTCAGTTGAACAACAGCTACATCTATTATATAAAATGTATGGTAGTTGGCACTGATGGTATATATACAGACCTGTCTACCCTTTTCATTGCGAGGGTGTAATTTCAAGACTCAATTAAGTGGAATTTATGAGGTAAAGGCGTAATCCTTTATGTTTCCCTACTTTGATGTTTTGCAAAGCTACTATATTGTCTGAATCAACCTGAAATTGTACATCATTGAACAAAGCAAGCATGAATGTTTCTTTTTCAAATCATTTATAGACAAAAAGTCCCTTTGTTGTAAAAACTGGTATCGTAATTGCAGTCAAATCAAACTTATTTATCTAACATTCCTAATGAACGTTTGGAAAAAAATTAGCAAATCACATAATTCAGAGTTTCAATCGCATATTAATACAAATTCTACATTATTCCGCTATTTCGATTTTGTTTTTCTTACATTTACTTGTCTCTATGTTGTTCTTAGCAATGTAAGAATAAACCGAATTGAAAATTAAACTGACTTTACTTATTGCACACATCATTCAAAAGTTTTGTTTCCTTAATTTTGGCATGCAACCCGTTTAAAAGGCATAACTACAACGTGTATTACGTATGTTGTTTGTATCATAAATAATCATATCGTGAAGAACTGAAACCCTCCATTAATTAGTATTAATTACCTTCTCGTTTTCATTAAGGAAAGCCTTTACTTTAACTCCAAAGTTAGCCTTTCATTAAGTTGTTTATGAAAAAATATTTAAAAAGCGTAAAATTAGTTTTCATGGCGTAACAGCGTAATTTTGTGGTAAAAAGCGGAAAAATTACGCCAAAAGCGGAAGGGTAGGCAGGTCTGTATATATCCTGAGCAAAGAAAAAACATACCTAATCAAAGAATACAGAGCTCACTTCTATAAATGTTATCTACTAGTAAGGCAAAGTCTCACTTAACAAACACTCTGGTAATGTATATCACCTGGATCCAAAATCTATGCAAGTTGGTCTGGGTTAGATTTAACTGCTCAATAACCCTGAAAATGTATGTTACATCCAGCATCAGAAGCAGGATACATCATCTATGTTTACTGATCACCAAAGAGTATATTGTTACTTTGAATGAACCTTCTCTAAAAAACTAATCATTAATCCAGAATATCTAAGTCAAATCAAGGATTGGTACCCTGAAACATTTACATGTACATACATCATCTTTGCAGGTTTGTTCAACATAGAGTTTATAATTACATGAGAATAGGACTGCTCAAAACACTTAATCTTGTGGAGTCCCCCATGTGGCGCAAAGGATAGAGTTTGTAATCTAGATTCGCGAGTAAGGATTTAATCCTTAAGTCTCAGGTTCAAATCCACTGGGGATGTGGGGACCAGTCCTTCAGATTAGACCATATAAACCGAGGTCCCGCCTAGCAGTTGATGTGGGCACAAAAAAGATCCCTTACTGCTCAAGGCCCTGAGTGCAAAGTATGGGTCAAATTTTGCAGCTCTCCACCAGCAAGTAGTGGCATCTCCATATGGATGAAAAATTCTTGAGAGGGATGTTAAACAACAAACAAACAAAAACAAAAAAAACACATGAGGAAAATGTAGATCAGGTCAAGCATCTGAAGTAAATCTGTTAATGTGCTTTAATCCATGCAAGTTTGTCCAGGTAGAGCTTAGGAATTAACCTTGCTCCTTAAATTTTAACTGGGATGACAATGCTAGGTATATGGTGAGAACTCATCTAGACTGTCCAGAAAATCTAAAAAATATTTAGCAATTTCTTACTTGCATAATTTAAAAAAATCTGCAATCTAACATTATTTCAAAAAAAATTTCAACACATTTTCTAATTTTCAACAAATTCAATGCACTATGAGACGATTTAACATTTCTTAACCACATACACTGTACTTAAAGTGCAATATACATGCATTATATTGTATGTTAAATCTTTACAGTTTTCTTCAAGTACTCTAATAGTATATGAAATATGTAGATTACCAACAGTGATCAAGCTTTAAAGTCCATTGAAACAATACATAATTAGAGCAGAGCAAACAGACTCTAAAAACACCAGGTGCAATGGAGGAGAAAGCATTTCCTGCCATGTGCTCCTTGACATGATTGGGCAAATGGAAAAATCCACAAACAATTCAGTGTAAACAATTTTGAAGAAAAACATTAGTCAACATTCAACTTAATGATCGATTGAATTTGCTATAACAATTAATTTACACGTAAGTGTACACACATGTATGCATACTAGATGAATTATTTCACAATATCCAAAATTGGACAATAATAGTTTCTAATCTAGCTAGACAACAGGAAATTTTCATTATTACTTAAATTACATGAAACTATTGAAGTCTATGAGATAAAAATTATATCTAAAAATTATACACATTTTAACAAGTGTTTACAGTTTAGTGTATTTATTATACACAAATGATGACTTAGTAATTATGACTTACTAGTAAAGTCCACAGATTGACTTCCAGATTTCAGCTCAAAGGCTTGAAGATTTTTAGTGGCTCTTTCATCATTTTTTTTTCACTGAATATTTTCATTTTTATTTTCAAGACGCTGTTTTTGTTGAGGTCTTTTAGCCGTTTGATGCAATCCAAGAACTCCAAGGGCAATTTAAGAACTCCTGAATTTCTTTCTTACCTGGAAAAAATAAAAATTTAAAAGTTTAAAATATATTCAACTTACATGAAGAAAACTAGTAAAACTAGTGATAATGTAATAGACCTTTCAGATGTTCCAAAGCAGCTACATGTATCTAATTAAAAAATATAAAGTTTGAAGTATTTAGAGTCACCTGTATTCTGAACAAGCATAAGGGATATGTGTATTTGACAGACAGATGAATGAATAGACTGATCACTATAGAGCACCTTAGTCTTTTTTCAATAATCTTTATATTAGTGAAAATCAAATAGGAACTAGAGTGTTTCAAGGAATGTATATGTCACCTGCTAGGTATCGTCATTAAAGAGGTAAATAAATCTAAGAGTGGTCCGCTATTAATTTAATATTAGCATGGAGGTTCAAGCATTTGCCTGCAAGGAAAAAAAGGACCCAAAAGTATTTAAAAGACTGGGATAGAATCTGGCAATCGGAGAAAATATGGTTCTCCAGTCCTCAAATGAATAATTTAATTAAAATTATGAGGAATAACTATTTATCATTTTATTAATACACATGTAGGTGCTTCCAACAATCCTCGGAGGAAAGGAATTTCAGACTGTCTTTACTTTAATTGTCACTTTGTCAGTCAACATGATTCATTGTGGAATACTGATCCCAATGTATTTTCATAGTATTTAAATATAAGTTTGTGTGGTAACTGAATTTCATACAGTTTTAAAGTATAGTATCATGAGCTCAAAAACATATATAAATGCTAATTATCAAAACCCTGCCTCTCAAAATTTTGGAGATATAAGGTGTGACAGACGGACAGACAGACACCAGGTAAAGTGATCTCTAAGTGTCGTTCTGCTCTGCAGATGACACAAAAATGAAAGTTAGTCAATTTTGACCATGTATATCACTTCAGTGATGAAAGGAATGCTGAAGTGGTAAGTCTATCCTAATTATTTGAAAATACGGCAACCCCATTGGTCAGAATATAATACATATGCTGTCCAGCCTTAATTTCATTGGCATAAAGCAGCACAAAATACGATTTAATTGGATGGCGCAACTTGTTTTTCTAGGGGGCGCTGTTGCAACCCTGGAAAAGAAAACAGGACTGGGGCTTGCCCCTAGGGGGCACTTACTGACCGGAAGTAAACAAACAACAGAAATAGCAATACACTAGAAATATGTCCATAGGACATGTATGCCTGCCGAGTGTATAGTAATGCAACATGAAATTTTGTGTTAGTGTATGAAGTTTGATGAGAATATCTTGAAAAGTTTCTTTAAAATTGAAATTGAGATCTAAAAAAAATGGATATAAATGATAAATTCTCACCAAATTATGTATAGATGCATAGCCTTAGATATCAATATTTTAAATGGTTTTAAAACCATGCAAAATGCAAATTGAAGGAAAGTGAGGTCAAGGTCACAGGAAAGGTCAAAAGTTTTTGAAATAGTTGAATAGGTCTTACTAATTATATATGTATCAGCATATTAAGTTTGATAAAGAATATCTTGAATGATTTCTTTAAAACTGAGCTAGTCACAAGCGTGGCGCCATGGTTAGAGCGTCTGCTCTAGAGTCGCGAAGTAAGGAGTTGATCCTTATGTCGCAGGTTTGAATCCCACTGTGGGACATGGAGACCAGTCCTTCGGATGAGACCTTATAAACCAAGGTCCCATGTCACAGTAGGTGCTGGCATGAAAAAGACCCCTCACTGCTCAATGGCCATGAGTGCAGAGTATAGGACAGAATTTGCAGCTTTCCACTGGCAAGTGGTGGCGTCTCCATATGAGTGTAAAATTCTCAAGAGGGACTGCAGATTACCTGTAATGATTGACCAAAATCCCTACTAGGCTTTAAACTCTTCATTCTTGACCTGTATTTCGTCAAATAAGATTTTTCCAGTTAATTAAGGTAAAATTACTAATTGTTAAAACTGTAAATGATTTTTTTTTTTTTTTTTTTTTTTTTTTTTTTTTTTTTACCTGAGCCAGATTTTTACTTTTCTTAGAAGTGTCTGTATTTGACTGTTGGTTCCACCTATCTCAAGAAAATGATCTGTAAAAGTAAATGTTAGAAATCATAATCTGTTCTCTATCTACTATAATCATGAAAAAAGGTGTTGAAAATAAACAGATGGAGATAAAATCAGCAGTCATATTAAAGGCTTTTTTTTTCAATAATCAATTTATTAGTGAAAATCATAAAAGTATTAGGCAAAAAGGAAAAATAAATGTTGTCATTAATTAACCATGCATATCTCTACAATTTTCTGATAAGAAAATTATACCCGATAGATGCAATATAATCACCCTTTGCCTGCCCCTAAATTATGATTATTTAAAACAAGGTTCTTTTAGAGGTGCCTAGGGTCGAAATTCATAGAAAAAAACCTACAAAAAACGTGAAAACCTATTTCTATCATACTGGTTTATATTTATTACAAATGTCCTCATAGTCAGCATAGCCCAGAACAATAGACCGCAGACTCTCACCATGAACATTTTTAGTGTCCTGGTTCGAAACCATTTGTTGGCACATTTTTATTTTTTCAAACTTTTTACCTGTATAAACACTAAAGAACGAGTGCACTTATGGGCCCCGGTAAATTAAATTAAGCATAATTTTCCATCTCAGATCATTAATTGATATCTAAACCATAAGATTCAACAAATTTTGAATATACAAAGAGCAAAGCCATACAATGTGGTAGGGGTCAGCCGACATTCGTGATTTTCTATAGTAAATCGAGGATGGTCATTCATTTCAAAGCTTTTGTTTATTGTCAGCCTAACACTGTACAAACTTGTGCGATTGACAAAAAATGCATTATACATTTATAAAACTTGTGTGAAAGTAGGAAATTTGTACATGATTAGGCTTGTACTTAAAATATTAAAAATGTATGAAAAGTTCAATGTTTTTCCTATAACAAGGAAGAGCTATTTACCTGTATGACCTATGTTGAACCCACCCGTGGAATAAATCATTTAAAATACTGGTAGTCACGTGAGTTCTACCCCGGTAAACATTCCTCAAAGATGCTCACTGTAAAACATAACCACGTTCTGTATCATTATATCGAAGTCAAGCCGCATAGAGAAGTTTGTATGTATTTGGTTTTAGGAACACGGGATGGTTAGGAGAGTTTAGTGTCGTTAAAATGTCATCATAAATAAAAGTGTCAACCATTTTAACATTCATGCAAGACAATGGTACTGGTATTGAAAGCCACCAAATACACTTTTTTTTCATTTTAAAATTTAAAGGAACTAATGTTAATACTTATTGTATTATTTCAAATGCAAGCATGCAAATTTCTTAGTTTGATCACTATGGATACAGGTATCTATACAACTTCATTCGATTTTTTTCTCAGGTAAAATAGCACAAGAAGTATCATTCGGCAAACGCGCCTGTCAATGATCCACCATCAGATTGTTCAAGTGTCTGATTTAAATGTCTCCTCCCCTTGATTTAAATAAACGAAACTCAAAATAGGTTCGGTACGACTTTTCCAGATTTGGGGTATCTATAGACATTTAAAAAACTTCATTTGTTTCAAATCCATGCTGATTTAGGTGATGTTTTAATGTGATTTTAATTAGAAATGTCCACTTGTGTTTAACTATTACCAAAAGAGAACAATTTGGTAATACATTCTAAAGTAATATGGCACTGAAAAAGGACCCATTAAGCATTGCTTAAGTGCACTTGTCCTTTGATTTTTTAATACAGGCTTTTGCATTTTACTTAATATATTTTCTTCCTTAAATGCATGTTTGGTGTTGATATAAAAGACATCTATGGAAATGCAGATCATAAATTCTCTTTAACTAAACGCAATCAACCGGAACTAAACCTCATTGTAAGCACACTTTGTTCGAGGACATGAATCATTCACTTTGTGTTACTCGATACTCCAGGTGTCATGAAAAAAAATCATGCCGAGCAATAATTGCTGTGTTTGCCTTTCAAGAACATAATGACATGTAATAGTACTGTTGTGCCAGTGGGACAGATACTGTTCTATGCAGAGTAGATGCAGTTCATTCCTCGGGAAAAATGTGTGCATTGGCGATATGTTATGCTAAAAATGCATGAGGGTTTTCAGATTAGAAAAGAATGTGGTAAGGTCAGTTAAGGTTTTATGTCCCATTGCCATTACTCAGTCAGACATCAAGAATGACCCTCAAACAAAGGATGTATCATTCTGTAAATACTGAGGTAGGATCACATGAACACACAGTTGAGTAGAATGAAATATATCGAGATAACAATCAGTATTCAAGCTCAAAAGCCCATCAAAAAATACAAAATAGGAGCAGAGCAAATACGGACCTCCAAAACATCAGAGGTGGGATCAGGTGCCATGGAGGAGTGAGCATCCCCTGCAGACTAGTCACACCCGCTGTGTGCTCCTTGTCACGACTGGGAAACAATAGAAAATTCCATACACAATTCAGTGTGTAAATAATGGCCTAACAATAAGTATGAAAAACGTCAGTCAGCATTTTACTTAATGATAAATTGTATTTGCTGACAAGGTCATTGTATCGACCATAGAACTTACAAAATGATGACTTTAAACAAGACTGCTGATATTCTTGTTTCAGCAATTTGTTTGTCAATAACTTACCTCCTTTTAAAAATTGTTCATACATAGAGGATGCTCTTGCGTATCGAATCAACTGAGAGATATAAACCCCGTATGCAGGTGATGAAGGTATATTGCTGAATAAGTAAGGGAAGTTGATGATTGAAAAGTTAAAGTCATCACGTTTATCATAAAGCTTGGTTGTTAGATTACCATTAATGTAGAACTAAAGCAATACATGAGAAACAAGAAACTACACACGTGACCTAAAGTCAGTGACCGGAACATATATCGGTAAGCTTTTTCTAAAGACTGAACCAATATTGGTCCTATAGGTCATCTCATATTTTTAACTAGAAGTGTTCCTTTGATATACTATATTTTACTTAATTTCTATAGACTTACTATACCCTGAAAAAAAAAAAAAGGAAAACAGGAACTACCTGTTTAAATGACCCCGACCACCGAGGTTAATCTAAAGTTTGTCCCTGCCTACCTGAAAAACAGACTGCCTCGGGCAGTCAGTAATTTCCAACTCTGGTTATGAGATGCTAAATGTTAAATATTTACAATTAAATGCTTATATTTACATTTTTAAATTCATCATAGATTGAGAAAGTCGATAAAATCATTTCTATATTAAGTCTGTATACTGTATAGGGGGAAAATAACTCGCGGTGTTAATATTCGCTATATTCACGGTGTGAATAAATCCGTGAATTCAAGAAACAGTGAATAAGTTTTCAATAACCTACATGTTATATTTGGAAATTTGAGAATAGACTACGATAGGTAAATATACGTGCAGTACATGGTCATTTCAGTAATTACGAATCGTACTTGTCATTCAATTATTTTAATTATCACGCTTAACATTGATTTAGATCACCCAGCAGATAATAACCTGTATTTGTAAAAAAAAACTGTTTTAATAGCCAACGCTACATGTTTCATCAATCAAAACACTAGGGTCATGGGTTTTGAATACCCGTACGTAACTATGTTACGACGTGTATTTGTTACCTGCATTATTATGTTTTTGTAGACATTTTGGTTTTATAAAATCATTCAAATAACTATCGAACTTGCTGATGTATATATAAATCTACCCTGTTGTTCGTGAAGTGAATACATAACGCTGATTAATGCCTTCTAGCTATGCTATGGATTACCACGGTAAATGGATATAGACATTGAAGGGAGGTACATGTAACCTTAGTTATATACCAATTCCGCGAATTCAACAAACTGCGATCGTGTCAGAGGAGAGAAAAACATGAAATTTACAACCCCTGAAATTAATCCCCTATACAGTACTTCAACCGAGAAATTAGTTGAAACTGGTTCCAGAAAAGAAGCTGAAAATGTTCAATAGTTTACAGACAATACTTGACACATGATGACTGAACAAGAACAGATAGCAATAAGTAATTTAAATGACTCAGGTGAATTATAACCTGTTCAATCTTAGATCCATCTTTTTTCTAACACGAGGGTTGATCCAAAAGTTCATGGAATTTAATTATTTCTAAAATTTTATTGTGATTTGATGAAAGCAAACAATAGGCATATTTATAATATAGAGTCATTATGCAACAATACTGGAAAATTTCACTAAGTTCCAATTACCAATAAGGTCACATGATCTTTCTGAACACTGATAGTTGTAAAATCCGGGGGAGACTTCGACGTAACGTCAAGTTAAGTATGTCATGTCATGTTATAGGAGCATCTCACCCTCATGTTCAATTCAACTAAGTAATTCTACAGAATATTCTGCCTTTTTCTCCTTTTTTCTCTCAAGAAAAGCCTGGGTATCCACCAATCAACTTATCTTTATATTACATTCATATTTCAAAAATACTCCCCATCTTTCCATATGATGTTCCAATTCAGTAGCAAAGTCAAGCACAGTACGTCAGCGGTCAACATCCATCAACGCTTAATTTGTCTACGAGAAAAACAGACCCTCCAAAAGCAGCCACACCATGGAAGTTCTATTGTTCTTAAATTTCTCACGCCACTGGAAAATCAGTTGCTAAATGCATTTTTCTCCAGCCTGTATCAGTAGTATACCCCTTTAAGTCAGAGTGTTCCTAAGATTTTAACAAAACTTATAACTTGACTGAAATGTGACGTTCTCTAACAATTAAAAGATGAACAAGAAATCATCAACTGATAATCTAAATATCAAGTTAAATCAGTAAAACTCTCACATACAGGTATATTAGTGGTCAAGCAATCGTAATTATGACAAAATTCTCATTTTATTTGCCACTTGGCGCAGGTTTTTTCTTATATCACGTATTAAGAATTAAAATGATAATGAACAAGTAAATGTCTCCCCTGCATTTTAAAACATCCTTTGCTATGGCAACTGCCATAGAGTTACTATCATTAAAATTTAAAATATTTTTTTATCAAAAAAATTCAACAAGTGTCTATATTCTTATTTGTAATTTTCAACCACTTTCACAAATAAATAAATAAAATAAGAAGAAATTCCATGAACTTTCGGATCAATCCTCGTACATGTCAGTCATTAAATTTATATAATATACAGTATGCATAAGGGAGACCAAATGTATTATTACTGCATTAAGGAGACCAACCACTATCCATATGTAAATCAGTATTCAACCACTTTCACTAATAAAAAAATAAAATACGAAGAAATTCCATGAGCATTTGAATCAACCCTCGTACATGTCAGTCATTAAATTTATATAATATACAGTATGCATAAGGGAGACCAAATGTATTATTACTGCATTAAGGAGACCAACTACTCTCCACATGTAAATCAGTATTCAACCGCTTTCACTAATAAATAAAAAAATATGAAGAAATTAGTGATGAGACATCAGTTAATTTTCATAATCGATCATCGGTTGGAATCGGTTACTGCTTCTGATGCGATTTCACCGATTATAATTGGATTTCTTCATAGTTTTGTATACAAAAAGCAGACTATTACAATAATTTCATTTATTTCTTTAACATGAATATATAAAATACATAATATATTATTTTCTTTGTTGTTTTGCTTCTTTTACACTTTCTAGACCTAAAAATATTTACAGTGGACACCCAAAAACGAACTTCAAAAAGTCGTGGGGGGAATTGATCACTCTATATTTAAGGTAAATGTTGACTAAGTTGCATATTTATATCTCAAATAAAAGACACAATTAATATTTTTTGAATAAAAAGAATCAGCTGATTGATCAAACCAAAGAGCAAACACAGATTTGGCAGAAAAAAAAATTCACCCGGGGGTAAATTGAATGGGTCGGTCGGGTTATTACAGGAAACAAAAATAATTTTTTTAGGCCCTATATATGCATCTTCGGTTCTTAATCACCTCTGCTTCGTGCTAGTTGGCTAGTATCAGATGCAGATGCCATTTTCTTTCGTTAAGAAGAAATAAATTTTAAACCAGAAATGGATAATTCCGGAATGTATTGTATTAGAAGTATGTTTCCGATGATCGATTATGAAAAACTATAATCGATCATCGGAATCGGTAGCATTTTTTTGTCGACAATCGATGTTTTCTGATTATCGGTACAACACTAGAAGAAATTCCACGAACTTTTGGATCAACCCTCGTACATGCCAGTCATTAAATTTATATAATATACAGTATGCATAAGGGAGACCAAATGTATTATTACTGCATTAAGGAGACCAACTACTATCCACATGTAAATCAGTATTCAACCACTTTCACTAATAAATAAATAAAATATGAAGAAATTCCATGAACTTTTGGATCAACCCTCGTACATGTCAGTCATTAAATTTATATAATATACAGTATGCATAAGGGAGACCAAATGTATTATTACTGCATTAAGGAGACCAACTACTCTCGATCCACATGTAAATCAGTATTCAAAACTTGAGATTTTAATACCCTAATAATTTACATGTTTAGTTACATGAACTAAATCTATTTACCTTTGTCATAATGCAAGAACTGTTTTACATTCAGCCAACTTTAACATTACACATGCATACAGTGTATGCCATGCATTAGGAAGACCAGATGCATTATTTCAACATTAAAGAAACCAACTACAATGGAACAATTAGACAGTATTCCAAAATGTTCATTCCAATACCATGGTATTTTCCCTTAATTTGTTTGTATTTAGATGACTTAAATCAATTTATCTCAGCCAGAATTGGAACAAAAAACTAATCATAAAAGTGGCCAAACACATGAACAGACAGATGGACATGATGATTCCTATGCTTATATACACCCAAAGTTGCCAAAGTAGAGCAGATGCAGTGGTTAGAGCATCTACTCTAGAGTCGCGGAGAAAGAAGCTGATTCTTACATCGCGAGTTTGAATCCCACTGTGGGACATGGAGACCCGTTCTTCAGATGAGACAGAGGTATTAACCGAGGTCCCATGTCACAGTAGGTGCTGGCTCGATAAAGATCCCTCAATGCTCAATGGCCATAAGTGCTGAGTATAGGACAAAAATTTGCAGCTCTCCACCGACAAGTGGTGGCGTCTCCATATGAGTGAAAATTCTCAAGAGGGACGTTAAACAACAAACACTATACACCCAAAACTTTGTTTGCAGAAGATTTTGTGATACATGCTTTACAAGTATACATATTGTTCATAAGGGAATAAAAATGCTATAATATATCATTAAGGAAAGCAACTGAACTTAAATGTGCACTTCTAATTGAACTAAACAAAATTACCCTTTGTCAGAATGTAGATTTATAAACAGGAAGGCTGTTTTTCTTAATTTTTTCCATGTCAGATTCAGACTGTTCTTGAAAAAATTCTGGCATACACCCTGTAAAAGTGAGCAGTGCAGATAATAAAGAGCTTCTAAATAAACTGCATAATATTTAAATGATCCACTTAAAAGGGATAACAAATGCATTTAACTCCATCAAGGAGACCAACTGATATCCATATATATATAAAACAGTACATGTATTTTAATTGTGATAATTTAATATCCTAGTAATTTACATGTTTAGTTTCATGAAATAAATGACCAATGAGCACAAGCACTGATTTTTCCTCTTTTTTCTTAACGGAATCACCAGGGCCAGTCTGCGGTCCATATGATTCTGGCATATGTACACTCTGTAAAATGCATATTTGTACCATGTACAGGCATATGAACAATATTTCTATACTACATACATGCATCATTAAACTTAATAATCTTTTTTCCCCAAAATTCATTATTCATAGTGTTTTGCTGTTAGCAAAATTCAACAAAAACTATATCGTATATATACTTGCCTATAAGGTGGTCCACCTATAAGTCAGTTGTATTTTTTGAGGTTATTTTGGAGGGATTTGCTATTGACCCGCTTATAAATCAGTACAACTTTTTGCCAGAATCAATTGACAATTTCAAATCAATGCTCTGATGTTTTAACCTGGTTTCAAAATACTAATCTTTTTATGACTCACCTATAAGCTGGACATAGAGTATATACAGTACCTGCATTGTACATGCATTAGGAAGACCAAATGCATTATTGCAATATTAAAGAGACCATTGTGGCAAATGAAATCAATGTATGAATTGTATTCAAAACTACGGGTGTACTAATTTGTCTGAAGTATATCATGATATAATGTGATACACAAAGACTTTAACAGGATATGTACATATACCCACATGCCTAAATGTAACAACAGGAATTATCGTTCTACAATAATTTACTGAAATTGCCAATATGAATAAACAAAAGCAAACTTTGTTTCGATTGTATGAACTTTAAGTTTTCTTTTTACACCACGGTCAGATAATCTAACTATCCCCTGGTTGGCTACTGGGACCTTCGTTAGATTGCCTTATCGGACATGATATTTACTGAAGATTTGATTTTTGGTACTGACTTTTATACTCAAAATAATGTCTTTAATTGTTTAATTTCTTGAGTTCAATATCACTTTGATGTGTTCAGTGTTTACTTTGATATGTAATGATGTGTATAAGCGTGTATTTTCGATAATTTAAATTTCTAGTACAGTAATCGTCCCCAAGCTGCTGTTTCATTATCGTGTCATAGTATCTCTGAGAGTGCATTTTATTAACACCTCCAAATCACCTGGCCTGCGTAATTAAATTTAACTACCAAAAACAACAGCTTGGGACTAATAAGGTGTGATTATCAGCAATGGTCCCATGAAGCCTGTGCTAGACCTAATGGAAACGTTCAACAGACCGTAAAATTAGCATAATGGGATTATTGTGTACTAAGGTGTGAATTCAGCGGAGCGAGAATTTGTTGGACTTCGAGATAACGCATGTGTTTATAGCACTTGGGACCGTAAATCTACTTCGAGATAAGCGAGGTATTCTAGATTTCCGTGTTCGAGATACCGGGGTTTTTTAAAATCATAAATATAATAAAAACGGCTGGGACCGTTGATTCACTTCGAGATATCCGTGGTATTCGACATACCGGTGTTCGAGATACCGAAGTTTACCTGTATATCGATACATATCTAGATTAATGAATATATCGTATCAAAAACAAGAAGCCCATGGGCCACAATGCTCACCTGAGCACATTGGCTAGGAAAAAGCACAAATCACTTCAGTATTGAAAAGTTTAAAGGGGAGGGGGCTTGGATTTTGAACTACCTGAGGATGCTTCCATATCAATATAACAAATGGCTTTACTGTTCTTGAGCAGAAGATTTTTTAAGATTTTTTTCCTATATATTCCCTTTTTAAAAATTTGATCCCCCATTGTGGACCCTCCCTACCCCCCCCCCCAATCATTTGAACAAACTTGAATCTACACTACCTGAGGATGCTTCCATATCAATATGACTAAACATGGCTTTTCTGTTGATGAAAAGATTTTTTCCTATATATTCCTATGTAAAAATTTGATCCCACATTGTGGCCCCACCCTACCCCTGGGGTTTATGATTTGAACAAACTTGAATCTACACTACATGAAGATGCTTCCATATCAATATGACAAAACATGGCTTTGCTATTCCTGAGAAGAAGATTTTTCAAGTTTTTTTTCCCTATATATTCCTATGGAAAACTATGATCCCCCATTGTGGCCCCACCCTACCCCCAGGGGTCATGATTTGAACAAATTTGAATCTACACTATGTAATGAAGGTCTCACCTAAGTTTCAACTTTTACAGCCCAGTGGTTCTTGAGAAGAAGATTTTTAAAAGATACCACTAAATTTTCACTAATTCTTAATTATCTCCCCTTGAAAGAGGGTGTGGCCCTTCCTTTGAACAAACTTGAACCCCCTTTACCCAAGGATGCTTTTTGGCAAGTTTGGTTGAAATTGGCCCAGTTGTTCTTGAGAAGAAGATGAAAATGTGAAAAGTTTACAACAACAACAACAATGACAAAGACAACAACGACGACAGACAACGGACAAATTTTGATCAGAAAAGCTCACTTGAGCCTTTGGCTCAGGTGAGCTAAAAATAACTTATGGGCAGGCAGTTTTTTTATGTAATTGTGTGAAAAACTTGGGAATTTCAATCACCAAAGATTATATTTACAGGTAACTGTTTTGAATTAAAACTGATCAAAAATGACATAATCATTAAGGAGGTAGCACATCTTAGATGATTATTACAAAATCATAAAAATACATAGACAACTTTACTTAACATGTTGATTTTACAGTCAAGAAAAGTTTGAATTTGAAGTGTAATTTTTAAAGACGGTGAGACAAAAAATTAAAAATGAGTAAAAAACAATTATTATTTTTATAAGATTCATGCATAATGATTTACAAGACTTTTTTGACAGAATTGTTAAAGAATTCAATATATTGCATATCGCATTAAAAAATGTCTTTCTTTTTTTTTTTTTTTTTTTTTTTTTTTTTTTTTTTTTTGCTCAATACACAGCCCTAGCAAAAATGATATACAACAAGGACTTTGATTGGATTATTAACATTCATACGATTGATCATAATTATTAACTGTTATTGCACTTTCATTTTCAAAATATTGTTAGGTACATTGTTTGTTCACTCTTTTGCATTGATGTTATAATTTATAAAAGAGTATTTTAGCAGAAAAAATTATCAATTTACCTTTCTTGGAATAAAGACATGTTGACCCTTGAGCTGAGATTTTCTCTCTTTCCATAGATTTGTTACACTGGGGTCCACATGATTCTAGCAGAGACCCTGTAAAAAAGGACTTAACTATGGAAAAGCATGAAGAATATATGCCTATTATACATATCTTAAATTCTAATGAAAACAATGTTTTTTATTTAAGATCCATATATTTCTAATGATTGACATAATACAAATTCAAAATAAAATATGCATGTCTATATTATACACTGTACCTTAAGCAGACCAATTGCATTATTACATCCTTCAGGAGACCAACTTAAATCAATGTTTGAGAACTACTTGTGAGAACAATAAATTTGTCTACTTTACAGTGCTAAATGTACATGGAATCTATAGGATCATGTTACTTTAACTGGCCTGCCTTAGTTCAACACAGTAATCTAACAAAGAAATTGAGCCAAAACAACATTTTAAGACTTTTTGAACAGTGCATGTTCCTATCATTTCAAAACCATTACACTGTACCAGTAAAAATGCTAATATAGGAAAATGATGACAATTAATTAATATTGTACTTTCAGGTATGTTAGATGAATTAATCTGATTTGTCAAGAAACATTTGTTAAAAAGCACTATTATCCGCTGAATAATGAAGCCACGCCCAGTGTCGCAACAGTCAACATTGCTTGACGACGGGTGATATTCCAAAAAATAGTGACTGCGCAGATTTATGCACTCAAGGTTCACTATTATTTGTATAAAACATTCAGTATAATATAATAAATATTGCATGTAGTTGAGTGTAATATTGAAAATTTTCACCCCTCGAAAACCAAATACGTCAAAAAGGGGATGGGTTTCTTTTCCAACTTCTACATAGTTTTGCCCCTGCAAAAACTGGTATAGACCTTGGAAATGTTTAAACGGGCTAAGAGAAATCAAATGCATCAAGAGTACTTAATTGTTTTTACCCAAGTTACATGCCAAAAAAGATTCAGAGAGACGTCACATAAAGTTAATGTTGATTTGAACTGAAGTTAGGGTGTCAAAAGTCATTCACGTCCAAAAGTGACATTGATCATGTGTGGTAGATAATAGACTCCTACGAGCTAAATATGCTGCCATAATCAAGTGAGGATCTTTCCCTAATCCTATATATAAATCCATTTACAATATTATATGCACTTAAGCAGCTGTTTATGACATTGTAAAATTATATAAACAAGACCGGTTTATATAATTTATATCAATTTATATAATTAATAATATAATTTATATATAATTTTATCAAGATAAGTGTATGGGGTAGAGGGAGCAGACATTGAGAATCAATGTTGTCGGACCTCATGAAACTAAACAAACAGTCTTCCAAATAACCCGGGAGTCCAATGCCAGGGACCTGTTAAATTTGCAGCCGGGCATGTAAAAATTGCCAAATTACATGTCCGAAGAGGGCATATGTGAATCTTCTTTCATTGTACGATCTTTACTTGCCATTTATTCTGTCCTTCCCCCATTATTCGCTTAAACGTTGCTATATGTAATGTCGATGGATTGCCTGTCTACATTCTCGATACGACCTGTCAAATGATTGTCAATCTAATCATTGAAGTGTTTAGTTTAACCTATTTGTTTTCTTGAAGTTGCTTGCTAAATTACGAGATGTTCATCAATGCCACATACTGTGGCACTACAGTCATGATCCCATTTCTGAAATTCAGTTCAGCTAAACCGGCCAACAAATGACCAGCATGCAACTCAAAAGTTATTTATGAACAAAAACGCTTTAGAAAATGGCAATCACAGGCCATGGTTGGTTTACGATGCTGAAAAAAGTAATATAAAACCTTTATACCTAATGGGTTTTTTTTGTTGCACAATACTGGTAAATGTAAGAATTTTGAGTAGGACATGTACAAATTTGAATGGGCTGGGTAAAAATGATAGGTCTACATGCCCGAAGGGCATGTGCTGAAAAAGAATTGTTGTGAAGACTGAACTAAAGCGACAGCGCCGGGTGATCATATAAAGTCCCCTTTATTACATAATAATTTGGCAAATTATCAACACATCAAGCTAAAATTTCCAACATATCTTAACGGTGAGAATTTTTATTTTTTAAGTTGAAACCTCGTGACCTGTGAAAAAAATGAAATTTGTATCCCATCTAAAGTCTTAAAATGTATCAAGGTAATTTTCGATACAAATTTGCGGTTGGGGTTATAAATGAAGGATAAAACCAGAGACCTCGGAATGGAATACTCGGAAGTCTCTGGTTTTATTCTATCCCCAACTGGAAGTTGTATCCCATCTAAAGTCTTAAAATGTATCGAGGTAATTTTCGTGGAATAAATGAGTGTTTTACAATAAAGAGACTCTACCAGAGACGTCTGAAACGATTTATTTGACAAGAAAAAAGTCTCTTGAAGCGAACGATGTCATTTTAAAGTAGGTTAATGATTGATAATGATACATGAACAAAATACGAGCTTGAAGCAGGGGTGCCTGAAATTGAGTTAGATACCTTGTGGTAAAAATAAGTAGGGGTGCACCGTATATGAAACAAGTGCCTGTGATTGATAGTCTGAAATTTCTCTTCACCTAAATATTAAAAGCTTGCAGTGATCGCTATAAATCTATACAACAGTCAAGTTACATACGGTAAACTAACATAAAAACAAGATTACAACAGTCATGATTACAGAAGGTATATTTTGAAGACTCCAGGTCAGTAGGTGAATGGAAACAGGTAAACACACGTGGGACAGTCACCGCAAATATGAACCACAAAGCGACTTGTAACATTAAAATGTAAATATTCATCTGCACACAGATTTTTGCATAATAATAATAATTTTTAAAAAGTGTAAATTAAAATATAAAATAAACAAACCTCAAACCTTGTAACAAGGCTTGTTTCCCTACAAATCTTATTCTGGTTCTCTGTCACTGAAAATGCAGGGAACCAGGCTGCGTTATTAACTCGTACACAGATTTGTTGATACGAATAAACCTATAAACATATATACGAAATAAAATATTATCATAAAAAATGAAGAATTTCAAATTGCTTGAAAAATTATCTTTATGTAGTTTATAATAAATGGTTGTAATTGTTTATTAATTTCTATCTATCCATTAAAATTTGATACGTATATCAGCTTAATATGTGTTCGTCTGAACAATTATTGTTATTACACTCCCTGTCACATCTTCATAGTTAAGCCTGTAAGCATGGTAAGAAGGAATCAATTTCAGTTGAAGGGGACCAAAACCAACATTTTTCAGTTTCATTTGGTGGGGAGGGGGGGGGGTATAAACCTCAAATGATCATTTTATCTCTGTCACTGAACTGCTGAAAATAATGAAGGGAACTAGGCTGCGGCAATGATTTGTTGACTGAATTAAAATACGAAATAAATTATCATACATACGAAATAAAATAATTTCATGAAAAAATGAAGAATTTCCAATTGCTTGAAAAAAAAGAAGCTTTTCATGTATGTGATTTACAATAAATGGTTGTACTTTTATATTTTCTATATATCCATAAAATTTCACAGTATCAGTATTTCACTATTTGTAAACATTAACAATAATATTAAATAAATGTTACACTCATTGTGGCTTTGACTGAGTTACTGTCACATCTTCATAATTAAACGAGAATATTCCCTTCCGTAAATATTGCTATATATATCTGAACTGTTACCAATTAGTCTTTCTTTGGTGAAAGAAAACCTCAGGGATGGAGAATAGGCCCGTACTTAATTTAGTTGGAGGGGGGGGGGTGAGCACAACCAAACAACATTTTTCAGTTTCAGGTTGGGGGAGGCTACAAACCAAAAAATTTTTAATAAACAAAAGAAAAATACATTATCAGAGGTTATTATTGAGGGGGCCCAAAAGCAAAAGAAAAATAGATCATCAGAGGTTATTATTGAGGGGGCCCGAGCATAAAGGAGCAATGTTTTCTATAGTATACCTAAATTTCTGCAAAATTACAGGGGGCCTGCCCCCCCCCCCCCCCCGTTCCTTCAGCCATGTATTGTATCAAATCTGCTTCATCCTGATTCAGATTTTTTTTTTTACAGTCAGCATATATATTCTATTAGCAGAGGACCACATTATATTAATAAACAATTATTAAATTACAGCTATTTTTTTTCTTACAGGGTCTGTTTCATTTATACTATATCATGATGATCATGTCCTGCATGATGTTTACAGAAATTAAGTTTAATTTAAATTTTTAAGCTAGAAACAGCTGCGTCAACTTGCGAGACTATTTTTTCAACGTTCGGCCTAATCTTTAAAATATTTAATTTGTTTGTGGACTTGCATAAAAGAATTAAAAAATATAGGGGCCTATCATTTAACTTTATTTCGAATTTCCTTCAGGATTTTATATACCGAACTATAGTCTAACGATTATTTAAAATCATACTTTTTCTCTTGGAAGCTAAATTACTAGGCAAAAAAACAAAAACAAAAAACAAACGAATGTTTGTCTTGTGTATTCTTAATTACAACTTATTACTGTATCATTTTAGTTACTTACCCAAATTTCTCAACATCCATGGTGTTCAGGGGTCATTTTCTGAAAACTGAAGGGGCATTCCGATGGCATTCGGAACAAATGACGGAAAGCACTTGCTAAGAATTCAAAACATGGTTCATAAATTTACAATATTTTTTCCTTTTTAGGTTTTTAACATAAAACATGGAAAACTAAGTTAAAGAAACACTCATTTGAACAAATCAAAAGCGGAAAAAATATATATGCTAGATTTTTTGTTTAATTGCATGTTTTTCATGGTCTCCAAAATGCAGAAAAATTATCCTTTGAAATTATACGTAGGTTATAAATTCTTTTCTTTTTTAGGGAAGATGATAGAAATTAGACAACTTTTGAATGTTAAATAACAGAGTTAAAGATTAATAATATTTAATGACAGACTGTTTATTTATCTATAAAAAGACATTTGCAATACTGATGAGGTCAAAATAATAGGGATACCGAAAAAGGTCGCCTTAATCCAGTGGTCTCCCTAAGCCAGAAAATATATCCTCCTTGGTCTCCTAAACCCATAAGTCATATATATATATATATATATATATATATATATATATATATATATATATATATATATATATATAGATAGATAGATAGATAGATAGATAGATAGATAGATAGATAGAGAGTAAAACTCTAGGGCATTCGATTAAAAAGTATTTTATTAGCGGAAGTGGGTACCCTATGTAGGAGTTCTATACCTTTATCTTTTTTATACACCACAATTGCTGTTTGTCTACGTAAAACGTTAACACTGCCCATAACTTTTGATTGTTTGGAGATATGGTTCTCATATTTCACAAGTGTATTCCTTTTGACAGGGTCTTTCTTTGGGTCATATTTGACCTCTGGACCTTGACCGTGGGGTTTGACCCAATTTTGCAAGAATATACCCAATTTTAACCTTTAACAGTTGGTGCTAGGGTTTTCATACTTCACATGTGTATTCATTGTGATAAGATCTTTCCATGGATATAAATATGTTTGACCTTTTGACTTACAGTGCAGGAAACTAATTTTGCTACAGCATCAATGCTGATTTAAATGCTTCCTTTGCTTGCTGATTTGAATGCTTCCTTTGCTTGCTGATTTAAAGGTAGGTATCCTTATCCTGATCCTGATCTGATCCTTATCCTGATGCTACCTTTGCTGGTTCAAAACTAGGTCAATGCTAGTAATGCTACCGGAAGTAGGTTTATCCTTCTAATGCTGGCGAAGTGGATAATTTAATTTCAGCATCGCTATTTTAAGCCATAAAAAATATTTTTTTTTTTTTCTGTAATTTTCATTTGTATTTTGTATTGAATAACCTTCTTTAATGTTTACATTTTTTACCGAAAGAAATTTAGCAATTTTTAACGAATTTCGCTTTGTCAAATTTCAATCGTAAAATTGAAAATAAAAATGGCGACACAGAGAAAGTTGGAAGCAAATCTTGCGAAGTTATCGTAACAGAGCTGTTTGACAAAGGCTAGTTGCCCACTGCAGTCCAGATAATTCTTATGAGGTATTGATTGCACCAAACGATGCGATGGTTTATCCCATTTCTGAAGCGATTTCGGAAGAAGAGCCCCAGCGTGTTCAACGTGTGAGCAAGGAAACGTGATGGACAATAAACATGATGAAGTTTATGACAAACCCAGATGAAAATTTATCATATATCGTGTGGATATTTCAGCAAAAATATTATACTTTAAGTTGTAAAAGGCGTTTTCCAAGGAACCATCAGATCATCAGTACACTACCATGACTCAGAGGGTATGTAATCAATGTTTTTTTTTTAATTATCAGATTTTATGAGGATGATGTGAAACAAATTTACAAATAAATACACACTCAAAATTCTCAGCGATTCAGGCATTTAAACCCATGTGATTTTAAAGGTCAATTTTTACAACTGAGAAAGAATTAAATGTATGATTTTTTAGAGATTCAGATGCAGTCTTCTGTAGTTAATTCAAATGGTATCAAGTCAATAAATAACCTGACAATCTAATAACCAAGTCCACTCAAACCTAGTATATCAAATCGTGACCAAATCTATAGACTGATATTGCTTGTCTCATTCGTACGTTCATGTATATCGCGCATATCAGACAGGCAAGGTCACTCTACTAAATCTAGAAGTCAACTCTTAAACAAAGGTATGGTTACGGAATTTACCCTTGCGGTCTTAGGTTTGAGGGGAGAAGTTAGGTTGTACCTTATCATGTAACTGTCCTGTGTCTGGTTTACGAGTAGATTGTACGTAAGGTTTTAAACAGATATATTATAACAACATTTTCAAAAGGCAGAGAAGTAACTTACAAAGTACCTGAATAAAATGCTACAAGAAAAAATAAGGAAAAAAGAAAGTTGTCCCAAGTTGAATAAAACTATTTTTGGATGGGAAGGGTTCTAAGGCTGGGATGATACAATTTTTTTTATATTGATACATACATTGATATATGTATCAATCATGATATTTGACCTACGATACAATATATATCAAATATTTTGAATTGGTCATGAAGTCTTATTTTTGTATTGAAATGAACAAAACATTTCTTCACAATTATGAATAATTTATTTAAAGAATTTTAGCTCTATATCCGTTGTAAAACAAACTTATTTCACACAAGTGGTGTAAATTATTACCGGTATGTATTTTAAATAAATATTTCTATTTAACATGTTTATCGTATATATTAAACCCAAAATGGAAGTAAACAAAGAAAAACGCCTGAATTTTTTCACGATATTTAAATATTTTTACATACATATTGATATGCGTACCATCCTCACACAGAATCAATATTATCGATTAATCTTTTCAGCCCTAATGACTCCTTTTAAATTTTACTGGAGTTAAAGAAAAAAGAAATTGAAGTAATGTTTGAAACTGTGATCATTAATTTGACATTAAAAAGCAAAATTATGTTCTAAGTTACTAATTCATTGATGCAAGTACTTTTCAAGTTTAAGTAGTGCCAATTTATTTTGTTTTACCTTTAAAAAAAAATAATTGCTTTGATCCTGTTGTAATACAACTTGCTCTTCAAGTTTGTATTCTGTATATTTGTGCGTGCGATGTACACGTAATTGTATAAAGTTAACAAAACTGTAGTTAGAACTGTATATAAGCAGTCTGTTTTAAAGTTAAAATAATTCAAGGATGAGTTTCTTTATTATATGAAATTTAAAAATCTCCAACCAAAACTTATATTCAGATTCTCTTTGGAAGACTGTTTGTTCATATCCATGCAAGAAGAGAAATCAACTTAATTTACTTTGATAAAATTTTCAAATTAAATCATGACCTAATATCACATATTTTTCAGGCCAATGACAGTAAACAATGCAGTAAGTCCACCAGGGATTGATGGCAAAAAAAGAATGTTTTG